ATCATAATTTTTCACGATAAAAATTATGTTAAGTCTGACTGGTAATAACATACAAACATTTATTATTATTATTATTTAGTACAATTATTAATTTTATAAATAAGTAGCCGTGTCTGCCACAGTTTAATGGGCAGTGATTATTGGCCAATATAATCACTGCAGGCTGCACCCACCGTGTACTTGGACGCATGAGGTCGATGAACTATTTATTAATCCAATAAAATCTATTTCTCTCAGAACTAAGTCTTCATTGATATGTTATCGTGATTTTCAATAGCTTAACCTTAAAACGTATATTATACCTGAGTAATGATCGAATAAATTATTTATAAATCAATCTTACTAAACTATTACTACATTATTAGAAGTTAACTTTAACATTCTAAGATAGAATTCGATTGTCACTTAGCGGTACATAGCTGCCACAACTTTATTATTTTTTATTTTCACTCAATTGCATAAAATAGTTATTTTAAATAGTGGGTTTTAAATTCTTTACTATATTTAGATTTAGTATAGTACAGATATCCAAAAATGAATGAAGGATTGCACTTATTGAAAAAGTAAGTAGATAGATGTAATAAGGAATGATCATTATATTTTATTTGAGACAAGGAATGAAAAACGCTTTGTATTAGTACCTATAAGACAAGGACCCAGTTAAACCACTCATCTTCCTACCAACTCCAACTCATAAATATTCACTAAACGTGCCATAACCAGTATGGTATTTTAAACTTTTGGGATTTTCCGACAAACTTTGTGTAGTTCAACATATTTTTTGCTGTTAATGCTTAAATACAAATAGTTTCTAAAGTACCTATTAGGTATTTCAATAAATTTTAACACTTTTGTACTTACTCATTATATAATTTGATAAGTTTTAATTTTAGATTTATTAATTTAATTTATTAAATAAAACTCAAAATTGTAAGAAGATTCCATACCAATAGAAAAAGTTTCCATACATTTGTTAATCATTATGTTTTCAAACGTGCTACGAATAAACTATTGATTAATGTACAGTTTATTTAGGGTCGGTAGTCGGTACATATCTGACCGAAAATACGTCGCGTATATAAGCTTAGATTAAAACAAAAAGGGTAGATACGGTACGCTCATACTTGCATCAAACAAAAACTGATCCCACGGCAGCGCGAACGGGACGGCGAAATCCGCATCACTGCATTACCGACCCGAACGAAACAGCACGTTAAGTTTCAACGGCAGCGCGAACGAGACGGCGAAATCCGCGTCACTGCACTACCGACCAATCACGCGACCAGTTCTCGACGTCACTACCGAATAAGATTCAAAACAAACAGCAATTTTTATGAAAAAAATATATCTTATAGTACTTACGAATGAAAAGTGATGCCGTGGGTTTTATTTTTAGTTCTTGAGCAATTTGAACACTTTTTAAAAACACACTTAGGCATTGTTTTATCATATAAATACAAAATATTAGCAATATTTCTTTTTGGCGTTCACATGTACGTCGTTTGCATGTCAAGTTGTGACTAAAGCGATTAGGGTCGTGGACCACAATTCATGCGGATCACTTTTGTGAGGCTAGTGCCGTATCTTTTAACCTAAACTTAACCTTTTTGTTTTAATCTAAGGCAAAATACCGATTTTCAGCCATCACCTTTATGAGTGAGTAGACTGGCTTTATTAATAATAAACATTTAAAAGATTTTGCAAGGAGAAAAGAGAAAACAGCCATGACAATGCAGCGGAGACAAACACATATTTACTACATTATAGATACAAATAATGAAGTGATTGTTGGCGAGATAAAATTAGATGATATCATACATATATATATAATAACTATAATTACACATGATTTATTTAAAGTATATACAAAAGTAGTATCCGGAAACTGTTTGGAAAACAAGGCTACCTATTACGAATCCGTACCACTGAAAACTGATCAAAAATGTGATTGTAGGAAGGGGGGGATTCATTTGAATCTGGTTTTAATTTAATTTGATAATATTTAGGCGTTTTTTATTTACTTCAAAATTTTAACATTTACTTAGTTCGGTTTGATGATGCTGTCATTAAATTTTATCTTATTGGAGAACTGAGGTGCCCCCAATTCTTCATTACATTACGTAAGACAACCTCGCGTGGCTCATGCTGCGTGTACCATCTCCAGTGGTGTGACCTGCCCTCACGTAGATGAGTTCATTGGCGATTATTTTCTTGCTATGTTACATGGAACCTTGCAACATATAGCCTTATAACTACATGTTTAAATCTAAAGATAATTTTACTAGCGGATCGCATTGGGTCAGTTATCCTTGTCCACCACTTGTTCGTTTCATATTGATGTATAGAAAGAAGACAAAAGGCCATTAAAAAAAGGTCTGACTATTCCAAAGTGGAGGTGAAAGTTGACAGAAATAGCGCTGTCTAATACCCGATTCAAGATTCTCTTTTTTTGCGAAATTTCTTTCGGCCACTTTTTGATATGTATTTACAATACATACTACATTGATTTTCGCCAAAAAATCGAACTAAGTATAAAAAACTTCTTAAACGTCTTCGTTTTTGTCAGTTCTGGTAATCTGCCATATACATGATTAATACTTTCTTAAAAAAAACGGTCAAGCGCGAGTCTGACTCGCGCAAGAAGGGTTCCGTACCACATCCGTACCTTTATCGATACAACATTGGTTAGACACTTTAAATAATATCGAGAATTATTTTAATTACCATAACTTCTTATAAGTTTTCCTGTAATCTACAAGCAAAGAGCTACATGGACAGGTCTATTTTCTTAAATATTTTTTTAACTTTTCGTTTAACATTATAAAGAAAAATATATTTGATATCTTCAACCTTCTTTGTGTCCGTATCTGGGTCACAGACATACACGTGTGTACCAAATTTCAACTTGATCGGTCCAGAAGATTCCGAGCAAATCGACTGTGACAGACAGACAACCGAGTAATTCTATAAGGGTTCCGTTTTTGCCGATCTAGGTACGGAACCCTAACAACTAACTGTAGTGTTGTTATTTACGTAACGTAACAAAGTCAACGGTCTATTAATCATTAGCATGCAACCGTTTCCTGCGGCAAACCTAATTTCCCTGCCCTTACTTTAAGAATTGCAATATTCGCGTACAATAACAAAAAAAAATAGTTTTTTGGATATACACATTTTTGTATGGAAAAAAAGAACGAAATTTAGATGTATTTACTATGCCATCTGTTGTGAGAAAGTTAAGGTTATTTACAAATTGAACAACGTGTAAATAAGAGTCAAGATTTTTATTTCCTTTTTTCATTTGTTCTGAAGAATAATATCTACTTATACAAACATGCATTTTCATTTCCTAAATTAAAAAAAAATTTGAACCACTTCAACTGCACTACTTTACAAATAGCTTTTATTTGCAAGATAAAGGATTTTCATCATTACATATTATTTTTTAATTTTCTTTACATATAAAATTACGACTGCAGTTGTTGGCTAGATAAAATCACTCATTAGATTTTGGCAAATTGGGATAATACTAAGTGCTGACCAGGCACTAGATTTTTTATAACACTGATATAAATAGGTTAATATTTTCAATGAATGCAAACATTTTTACAGCGAAAGGATAACCTTAAAGGATGTTCTTGTATTGATCATAACTATGTGGTTATTGTAAAGGTATTCATTTGACATTGTGAGTTACCTACAATGCGAAGAGATGGCGCTGCCTTGTAGCCTAAGGCTAGAGAAAATTCGACACGGCCGTCAGGGCCGCGGTAGCATCATGGTCAGTGCATTCGTCCGGATAGCGAAGGGTGCAGGTTCGAGTCCCGTCTGCTGCCTGGTCAGCGTGGATTTTTTTCTAGTAAAGCTTTTCTTTAGATTTAAACATCTAGCAGTTAAATGCTTAAAAAAAACATAACTATGTGGTTATTGCGAACAGGATGTTGTGTAGATATGCATGGCATACCATCAAAACTTGAACAACAATGCGTTCCTAAGACGCATGTCAACAATGTGGATTGTCGTCATCGAAAATTGTCTTTTGTTTGACAATCCAAAACAGGCATCCTTAACTTCCTCCGATCGAAATAATAATTGTTTTGGCAAATACCTACTTAATGTGTTTATAATGCTGTACAGAATCTAACTTCCTATTGACTATATTTGTTTGCTTGGTTCAGTATCTTGATGTTTAAACGGTTTTTTTACCTTACCCTTTATTCTTAATCAACTTGCAGTGCTACGTAAGAACAATGTCACTTTTTACCGTGGAATTCGATGGTATGTTTTTGAAAATTTGAAATTCATCTTCTAATAATTTTAAATCACACCACGTTGTCATTAATATCAGAGTTAAAAACTACCACCTTACCAATGAAAAAAGAAAGATTGCCAAATTGAAGAAGTAAATTTATAACACCTTGGGGAGCTCGACGGGGTATAGAGGATAGGATCAGTAGAATAGGAATGGCCTGCTTCACATCAGGCGGGATCTTCTTTGTAATATAACAAATCTTATTAAAAAATGCTAATGCAATCCTGTCCATCTCTGTGTTTCTTTATGCTTTCACGCTTAAATCAATGAACCTATATTTTGATGCTACAAAAATCGTTTGTTTCTATCCATAGGGAAGTCCGATAATAATAAGGTTTAATTTTTAATTTTACACGTTGTCAGTTGGTTTTCACATATCCTATGTAATAAGCTAAAGGCGTACCTTAAATACAAATAACGTTGATTACGTTTAATGAATCGTGAACGTCTACAGCAATAACATTTAGAGTTAGATTTAATGGACGACGATCATGAATTCACAATACTTATATGGAAAGTATTGGATGCGGAAAGCGTAGGATCGTTTTTTGTAGAAATTCCTAGCGGAGGCGTATGTCCAGTAGTGGACGCCCATCGCTTGATGATGACGATAAAATGGAAAGATAATTTGGTTCAAATGATGTCGATCTGATTATATCATTAACAATGTTTTCCCTATTTTTCTTAGGAACATGCCTGACCAAGAAATGGAGTCCAATAAGGACCTCGTGAACATCAAGAACTGGTTGTGCAAACAACCGCATTTACCTCACGATGTTGGTAAGTAATCTTCTGAATATATAAAAGGCAAGGGTACTTACTGACTGATCTATCAACGCACAGCCCAAACCACTGAACTGATTGCGCTGAAATTCGACATACATAGTTAATTACCGTGTAGGCGTACGCTAAGAAAGGATTTTTCTAAACTCACCCCCTAAAAGGTGTAAAACGGGGGTTCAAATCTTTATAATATTTCCACGTAGAAGAAGAAGAATCTACACGTGTTGATACCACCTGTAGTTGGAACATTTAAAGATAAATTAATTAATGCGGTCGATTGGTCTTCTACGGAAAACAGGAAGTAGTAAACATACTAGTAGTAAAAGAAATCGTAATAGTAATTAGGCTGCTTTTATGGTGGTCATGATTATAAGGATGTGAATTTTAGATTTTTGACACTGCTATACACACACGTCTTTTAGATCTGTATGTACTTTTATTATTCAAATTCAATGTAATTTAAAAAATCCGAACAAATTGAAGATCTGGACAAAGTCCGGACTATAGTCTAAAAGTCCGGACATGTCCGGACTGATCCGGACTGATCCGGACGGATAACCCCATCTGGGACCCATTTTGAGGTATACCAATCCTATAAAATATCCAAAATAAAAGAAAACCGGACTAGGTAGTCTGTAAAAAGTAATGAGTGGTCATACATAAAAAAACCGCGTCGACTTGAGTACCTTCTCCGTTTTTTTCTTCGGTTATTAAGTATGTAGATATTTTGATTATTAAATAATCAAAGGTAGGTACCAACCTACTTGGCTATTTTGTGATGCGCATCAGGTTTATATGACTGAAAATATATTAAACAGACGAATGTAAGCTTAGACCAGGTATCACTGTGATAGCTGGTCAAAGCTAATAAGCAAAGGCGCATTTAAACAGGATTTGCTGAAGTGCAGTTTTCTACATAAAAAATAAATACCTACGAAAAGTTATTTTACAGAGCAAAATCTAGGTTACATACTATTACATCAAGCCAAAGTGCTTTAATTCAAATTATGTTATAAACCAGTCCATATACTTAGTTCCAAGTAGTGAAGAAGAAATCCTTGTAAAATATATTAGAATTCAGGCAAATTGCAGCTGTTGAGTTTAATATTTAGATGGGAGAATTGGGATACTGGCATACCTATTCAATTCTTCAATTTGACAAAGGAAAGTATAACAATCATAATTAGGTACCAATTCAGTTACTAATGAATAATGTTTACTTTCCCTGTTAAAAGTTCAATATCCAAAGGATGACAATGACATCGGAACCTTATTAAAAGGCAAAACAAATATATCCCTTCAATCAATCAATCTCTATTTATAATTCCTATTTCGAAAATATTATTAACTTTACCTTTTATATTTACTGACTGATAATTTGACATAGGTAATTAAACTATAGGTACTATTGGTATTGTAATTACTATTACTATGTAAATTATCAAACAATATTCCGCTGATCTTAAATTGAGTTATTTGCATTTGGACTTGTAAATAATTCCTTTGTCTTATTACAATAATGCTGTTAATTATCATCTGGAAACACGGTTTTGTCATTTCATTTTACCTACATAAGTAATACGGAATAACCTTCAGTTTGTTTTAATCTCACATTTATCAATCCCAAAAAATATGATATTTTGTTTTGTTTGTATTTTATGCAATGTATTAATGCATGGAGTCAGGGCCGGATTTAAGAACGGACGCGAGCTGAGAGACTTTTGAGAAATAGGTATATGAAAAACGATTGCTGTCACGCATTGCCAAATACCGTGCGATAAGAGCAACAGTAGTAAACGCTGAAAATTGCATATAAAAATTGCAAAAATCGAGGTTCGGCTCTCGACTATTTCCTCCTCGAAAATTAAACATAATTAAAAGAAATTTTACCCATAGAATAATAAGTAGTTATACTATGACTCTATGTATTTTTTTTAATGTTTATTCAATCTCCACACTAGACGTCTTTAGTGGTGATAAAAATTTGTCTATTTTTGGCATTTTAGGGCTTCTAGTGTCTTTGTTACACAACACAACACAAGCTATTGAAAAAAGGAATACATAGGAGCATAGAATGAGTAAAATTATATTTTATGTGTGAAAATCATTCTTAAGTGATAAAAGTCAAGGAATAATTAGTCGAGAACGTTTGTATGGAAAGAACACTGCCCGCCTCCCCTCTTAAGGCAGGGCAGGCTGGGCTGTAGACACGGGAAAAGCCCACACCAAGATAAAAAACTAATTTCGACGAAAATGCGGCCCTGCATGGACTTAGCACCATGATATTGGCCGGCGAAAGTAAAGTCTTAAGTGATTACTTAAACGTTTACATATTTATCACTCCCTCAACCTGTTCGGCGGAAAGCTTTTAGTTCTTATCAATATGGCTTCAAATCCATCATTAAAGAATCGACAAAGACTTTTTTTGTAAGCAGGGACTATAACCTATTCCTCATTACAGTATCAATTTATATTTTTTTTAGCTGGTAGAAAATAGCTTCGAAGATCAATATGTTAGGTATAAAGTTTATCTACGTGATGTTTTCCCATTTTTTATTGATTGAAATGAAATGAAATGAAAAGTCATTTATTCAGTCTAGGCTGTTACAAGCACTTGTGAAAGTCAAGAAGCTACGCCATCGGTTCGCAAAACTACGGCGGGAGACCTTGTACTGAGAAGAACCGGCAAGAAACTCAGCAAGGGCTGCTTGTTTCTCCCTGTATTGATATATACAGAGTCGTCAAGTTGAAAAATGACTTCAGACATACTTCTGAAGTCACCTTCCATTACATTATTTAGGGTATAGATATATAGTTACAACAAATTTTATATTTAGTATATATAGGAAGCGGCATTAGATAGGTACCATACTACTGTTACAAAACTGACTCATACCCATCAAATAAGAAATTACAAGTAACACTATGTCCATGCATTACGATCATTTAGATAATCATTAACTTTATAATAGCCCTTATTCATAAACACATCTCGCTATAAAATACATTTCAGTTAAAGTTCACGGTTCGTTAAGCCAAAAATATATACGTATGTTTCGCATAACGACGCAAGAGCGGAGGTGACGACATTTACCAATCGTACAACAATTATTGTTGTTGGTTAATTAAGTTACTCGTATATGCTTGTTTCCACGATTCCTTTTGTGTTATTTTAAGCTATGTATATTATTAAGCAGCTTAGAATTTTAAATATTTTTTTATCGTCAGTTTACTTTTAAGAATATTCTTATTAGCATCGAAAGCTACCCAGGCCTGAGATATTAGTCTTTCTACTTCGGCTGTACGGTTAAGGGTGATTTTTTTGCCTATGTAGATGTACTCTGTCAGTAAGTCAACTCCAAAATGATAGCAATTTACCTTCGATATGTTGGCCATGATCTGTCTTCGTAAAGTTCATCTTCAACCCCATCTTTTCAGATTCTACCTTCAAATCTTCAATTGTGTCCAACATGTCGGTGACACTCAGCTCTGAGTACAAGGCCAGATCATCTGCGAATATCAAGTTTATTCCGCCTCGATGTTTATGCCATTGTTATTCCAGTTTAATTACTGAAATATATTCTCTAAAGTAGTTGTAATTAGTTTAGGGAATATCGTGTCACCTCATCTAACTCGTCAGGTTAGATGGGTTTTAATGTTTTCTAGTGGAGCCCTACTGAAGTGCGAAAAATAATATGTTTTTCCATTTTCTTAACTAGTTTTCTTAACCAGTTACGAAAACTAGACTATTAATTGGATAGCAGTTGAGCAGCTGGCTATACAATTCTGGACATACAAATTGACATACACATACTATAGTAATGAGTTGCGACGGAGCTCTTGTTATTAGACAACGCTTTATATAGTCGAGAGAAGCGAGACCAATCATTTATCTATGAAGTACTTTCCATTGATGGATTTTTAATATTTGCCTGGGAAAGTAGCGTTCAGACTTCGCTATATTGTTACACCATATAGTAGTTATAACTAGTCCATATAATATAGTGAAGCATGGTGTGAACTTGTTCTTTGTTAATTTAAAGTGCGCCATATTGTCGTGCTATAAGCTATAATGTTATATCGTAGTAGCATTTTTTCTTTCTTTTCAAGTCCATTTCAGCATGGGCTATCACCAAAAATACTAAAGAAAAATAATACCAACAATTTCGAAGCAGTCCCTGATAAAACGGTTGACTTTCAGATGAGACCCTGCTTCGGCGGTTCCTCGCGAGCAGCGGCTACAGTATGGAGCGCGCCAAACGAACCATCGATCTGTTCTTCACAATCAGGTCCAACTCGCCAGAGATATTCAGCATGCGAGACCCGTGGTCCGCAGAGATCCGACGTGTGTTTGAAATCACGTGAGTTGAAAATCTCTACTGGGCGCACACGTACGGTTTCCTAAATCAATTACCTGATCCGAAATTCCTTTTATGGTTTTTTCCATTCTGAAAAAAAAACAGAATAGTGTACTCCTCCTTCAACATTCTGTATGTAAGGTTGTCCATTCAGGGTTCTGAATCAGGATTCCTGATCAGGAAAACGAACCAGGGAACCGTACATGTGCGCCCAGGCATATATCTTTTACTGTTTCGTAATAAGACTTGTGTGTGATAGATTTGTAATATACAGTTCACCAGGAAACTTCCAAAAGGCAATCACCAATGTGAAGGCCCTGAGGGCGCTTCTGGCGGAGCTGGGCTTGCTGGATTGAATCCGGAAACACACCCTCTTCACAATATTTATAGAAAACTAGCGTCCGCGTTAACTTTGTTTTTTTGAGAATCCTACAGGAACCTAACATTTTTCCGGGATAAGAAGTATCATATGTCTCATTCCAGTTCATAAACTATATGCGTGCCAATTTTTTTCAAAATCCGTAGTATAAATGTAGAGATCATTAAACATAAACGAGTTATTTTATGATTTATTACCATTAACATGTGATTATATATTATGTACCCGTGATCTTATAATGCGATCCCGTTACACTCATATCTATGTTCGATTCTAAGCGCTTTATATTACATAGGTATGTTTTGCTTTTTTATGGAAGTACAAATAAAAATCTCGCCTGAAAAATTACTTACATATATTAAAGTGAACATTTTTGCATTAAAGAATGTAGGTACGTCAGTAGAGGTATTAACAATTTTTGACAACATCTATTTAGTACTTGATACCTTCTCTTTTGTTGGATAACCCCCAATTTTGAGAATATTATGAAAAACAACTAATACTGCTACAGATTATTAAGTAGTTTAACCATCCCTAGATTGTAAAAGAGATTAAAAATTTGAGTTGGTCTAGCCATACATAATCGGAAAGTTATGCAGTAAAGACATCTCTGCGTGTCTAAAACGATTTTGGCAGATATAATAAAACCAGTCGTTAATAATAAAAAATACATAAAAGTGAAAGTAGATTGGACTGCAACTGATGCAACGGTATATTTATTTAACACAACATTGGTATTTATGTATTAAAAATAAACGTGGTATTTTTTATAAATTTGACTATTTTGTATACTTTTATTCAAAATCTTAACATGATCTTAACTTTATTTTATCCAAAACTCGGCTTAAACATTTTGTTATCGATGTTTAATTTCAAAAAATATTCTTTCTCAGGTTTCTGTAATTTGTATCTAAAGTTTAACAAGGCGACCCTATACTAAACTTCCACTGCCCAATTCATCAGACCCGCACTTGGCTGGATATCTTCTCTTTAATTGGTTTATTTATTAATCCAATAAGATCCATACCTTATTGTTTTGCCTACAAGTAGGTACCACTCTGTACACCTTATTAATTACCCTCAATCATTTCTGCTCCTAAGCGCAACCGCTTTTAAGTGCTGATTGTATGATAATGTAATGCAAAATGGTATTACCTGAATGTTCAACCAATTTACACCAGCGACTCGAAGTCACAAAACGTATCTAATTAGATTTATTAACACCCGTTCAAGTATTGTGAAATAATCGTTTACATAAATGTCAGACTTTTACGTAATTAATAAGAGAACTAGGAATTCTAAGATTTTTTTGTTGAAAAACCTGTGTGTTTTGTTTTAACCTTTAACAAGAGGAAAATTTTCCATTGCTATTAAAGTTCTGGCCATCTAGAATTTCTTTTACTTTTATTACTGTCGGATTTAACAAATGGTAATTTAAGATACATGCATAGGTATACTGTCTTTTTTCAATGCGTAATAACTTTTTGTCACTTATAATGCAAGCATTTTTTATCTTATTTCAGGATCTTATACATCTACCACAAACTCAGACGAATAACCAAAATTATTAAATATATCATAAGATATTACTTACTTTGTTATTATTCTTAAGTTTCTCACGTTACATTTCATTTATACTTTATCATTCCTCTTTGGTTTATCCAAAGAAGTCATGTCAGTCACCCAAGTTACCGTTTGGTATATAACGTCTCTACTTCACTCCTATAATATTCTATATTTATTTGTTTGTGGAGCTCGATGGCGCAAATGATTAGCGCGTTCGGCTGCGATCGTTGAAGTTAAGCAACTTTCGCAGTGGTCGGTCATTGGATGGGTGACCATAAATTTACTATCTCGAGTTCCTCCGTGCTTCGGAAGGCACGTTAAGCCGTTGGTCCCGGCTGCATCTGCAGTCGTTAGCACCCGCCAATCCGCACTGGGCCCGCGTGGTGGGTCATGGCCCAATCTCCTTATTCCATCCATAGGGAAGGCCTGTACCCCAGCAGTGGGGATATTAATAGGCTGATGATGATGATTTGTTTGTGAGGAAAATAAATATTTTAGGTATATTACTCTCATATTATTTCAGAGACCTGATCCCTCTACCGAAGAAGACGAATGAGAACTACAAAGTATTTTTGTACCGTCTCCGGAGCCCTGACATGGACCTGTTTAACTTTGTGGATGCGGTGAAAACGTTCTTCATGCTCGCTGACACCAGGCTGACAGAGGAAGACGATATACCCGACGGCGAGATCCCCATCTTCGACTCCGCCAACGTATCGCTCAAGTTCATACCAAAAATCAATCTATCCGTCATGAGGAAGTACATGCTATACTCACAGGTGACTGAACCTTATTGTCATATTATTTTCATCATCATCATCATGCGGTGAAAACGTTCTTCATACTCGATAGCAGGCTGACAGAGGAGGACGACACACCAGACGGCGAGATCCTCATCTTCGACTCCGCCAACGTAACGCTCAAGTTCAGGTAAAAAATCAATCTATCCGTCATGAGTAGTGTTGCCCAAATGCAAGAACAAGACGAGACTTAGCCAGTCGTGGTCTTGGTCTTGCCCCAATACACCTGGTCTTGGTCTTGGTTTTGCGCTCCCAGTCTTGGTCTTGGTCTTGCAGCAAGAGTCTTGCAAGTCTTGCAATTACCTATTAGACTATTGCTATTTATTAAAGTTTACTTTAGATCTTAGAAAAACGTATTAGAATTGGAACATTGTGAGCTTGAATTAACATAGCCATAGTAAAGACCAATCAGATTAATAAATGTCTGAAGATTTGATAAGAAATTCGAAACTTATTAATTCTTTGGAACACCTGTACTCTAAAATTCGAAAATCGAAGTTCGTGTCGTACCGTCTCGCTCGCTCATATATTAAATAGTATTAGCGTGAGTGGGATGGCACGACACGAAATTAGAATTTTGCATGAGTATACCTAGGCCCTGTGGCGGCAATCAAATAGTGTCAAATGTTGTGATTTCGGCGCGGCGGCAACGATTGTTGTATATGATTTCAATAGAATCCGCCGGCGCGTGTATCATCACCATGTACTTCCGAAAAGCGGCAAATTTCTTTGAGAAGTCAGTACAAAACCTTTGATGCCGCATTATCAAAGTGCCGATGGTTAAAACAAAACTATGCATGCACTCTGTTTGATTTTAATGGATATTTTTTTATTTGCTATTATGTTTATGGTATTGGTCATAATGCGCATAGGTCCAGTTTTTCATATTCTTTGATACAGTTTTTTGCGTCTCATAGAATTCCTAAGCGTACCTATACACCGAACTGTTATACCTAACTACTCCGTGAAATAGCGCTAAGTCGTAGCTGCAAGACGCAAGGGTCTTGCCGGATTAGTCTTGTTCTTGCTCAAGTCTTGCACGGTCAGTCTTGGTCTTGGTCTTGCTAAAAATACGCGGTCTTGTTCTGAAGACTGCAAGACCAAGACTGAATTAGCAACACTAGTCATGAGGAAGTACATGCTGTACTCACAGGTGACTGACCCTTATTATCATATTATGTTCATCATCATTATCATGCGGTGAAAACGTTCTTCATGCAAGATAGCAGGCTGACAGAGGAGGATGACACGCCAGACGGCGAGATCCCCTTCTTCGACTCCGCCAACGTATCGCTTAAGTTTATACCGAAAATCAATCTATCCGTAATGAGGAACTACATGCTATACACACAGAATACTGCCCCTTATTATCATATTATTTTAATGATAATAACGAAATAAGTATATAATATGATAATAATTTCGCATTTCGTTCACAATCTAGAGACATGTGACAGGGCAGACAGACAGAAGACAGGAAACATAATACGTTATGTTTTCTCATAAATTAACTGACCGCAACTACCTTAATCAGCTTAATATTTTTATCGGCTTATATTTCTACATAAAACGCGGCTGTTTACGTTTTCTTTACGTCAATAATAAGACGTCACAATGTCTCGAAGAAATGTGTCGTCTTGTTTTCCGGACGTTTTTCTACCAAATATTATTTACATTTTATTTAGGTACGTCTAAATACATCCACACTAATATTAGATAAATATAAATGTGAACGTGTGTCGGGCTGTCGGTTACCTCTTTACGTTAATACCGCTAAACCCATTTAGATGAAGTCTGCTGTAGAGATACTTTGAATCGCAGGAAAGAACAAAGGAAAGTTTTTATTCCAGAAATCATAAAGTAGACCTGTTGCGGGCACCCATTAGTATTGTATACATATAGTATACTAATCATTACAACAGGAAGAATAAATATAGCGACTCCACAATGGCATTCCCGGATATAAAATATTGTCCGGATACAATTTGTGTGGTTGCCAGCCTTTCTTTTTTTTCCTTTCCTTTTTTTTTAATTCTTTTCTGTTAATAGGTCTACTCAAAATATTTTACTCCAGATGTTAATTGGAGTAAGGGAGATAAAGCGATCGTGCTGCCAGTTCAGATAGGAATCATCCGCGTGGTCCTCTCGATTCACTTTTTTTTTTCTAGACCTTGGTCAACTGCACGGAGCTATTGCTCTTGGCTCTAAAAATATTATATGTTTATGTCACACTTGGCTTTAGCTTTGAAAGGGGTGGCCAAAAAAGTATGTAGGCATTTAATGAATTAGCCCCTCGTTTGGGATTCGATCTCCCAGGTCTAATAGATAAATAAATGTCTAATAAAATTGTAATCGCTAAACCCGAATGCAGAGGCAGTTCCAACATGGTGCCAACTACAAGGTGGAGTTGTCATGTCATTGTGGCATCTTTAATTTTTTTCCGTAAGAGCGGTAAACGGTCTTATTATATTAGAAAACGGAAATATGGATTTATTTAGTAAAATCGTTCACAAGTTATTGTTTTTTATACTTACTGAGTATTTAATTCCTATTTGCGTAGTCAACAGCAGGTACGTGCAGTCTCGCCCCAATAAACATGAAACTCGTCCTGTGTAACCCGGACTTTACCCGCAATCATTGCACCTTGCCTCTTACCAGAATTTCGATATTAACAACATTTATTTGTTAATCCATCCATGCATTGTTGTATTTTATGTCGCGCATTGATTTAAAAAAAAAGTTATTTTTTAACGTTAATGCTTAAGCCATTGATTGTTTTGGAACCTGTAACTCTCTTTTACATTACTAAAACACGTTGGAAATATGAATTATAGATTTATAATATGAAAATGAGAGACAAATTATTGTAAAATATTTCTTCTTCTTATGTAAGTAGAGTTATCATTAGGATTTTGGTGTTAGAATGAGGGTTTTATAATTAGGACGAATAAAGGTTTCATAGAGATATAAAACCCTATTTCGTGTTGATGTTTTTAAAATAATGTTATGGCATGATGCTGGCAATACTGAATGTTTGACTTCCTGTATCCGTTTGCTTCTTGCTCTCTTGCTGTGTGGGATTCTGTGAATAATAATTTGTATTAAAATAAAACCAGTCCATAAAATAAAACCTGCAGTTATCCAATAAAGACTTTTATTATAAAAACTTACATTTCGCTACTCGCATCGGACACGTGAGTGACATAGTTTTAGTTTCGATTTGAGTATTTGTAATTCCAATGTGCAGAAGGCTTAAAAGAAAGTCAAAACAGCGATGAAATAATACGATCGGATCATCGAACTTTGTCACGTGTATACAAAACACTGTTTTGACTCCAACAACATCCAAGGCCTCAGTCAAGTATTGCGTGATTCTACGGGTTTTTCTACTTTTACCGTTCATTTACATATTGCGGAGCTATTTAATATATTGTGATGTTTCACATTATCATTTGTACAGATTGATGGAAAATTACGACGAACAATCATGATTGTATTAAACGGGTATTCGTAGTCGATAGGTTATTTTATTCAATGAAATTGACACTGTTTGAACAACATATTCTTTTTCGGGCACTTTACATAGTTATTCGTAATATATTGCTATATCAAGTGTAGAATAGCAAATACGAATTATTATGTGAAGTGCAAATCTAAAGAATCTTCTATTTCGAGTTCCTCCGTGCTTCGGAAGGTACGTTAAGCCGTTGGTCCCGGCTGCATCTGCAGTCGTTAGCACCCGCCAATCTACACTGGGTCCGCTTGGTGGGTCATGACATGGCCCAATCTCCCTATTCCATACATAGGGAAGGCCTCTGTCCCAGCAGTGGGGAGATTAATAGGCTGATGATGATGATGTTTAATGCTCTTATTTTATTAAATTATTGTCATATGTGGCGAATCGTCAGGAGCGTTTTTACCCTAAGGCCAATGGAGAAGGAAGGTGCGAGGGGTGGCAGACACCATATAAAGACATCCAATTCTGACCTATATTTACATTTAATTAACTAATAATTCTAGGGGGGGAGGGGGGAGTGCAAATCGTAAATGGACAGATTTTGAAATATACCCCCTGGTGGTCGTCGTATCGTCTACTGGAGTGAAGTCTATACGTATTCATCTCTCATTTGCTTCCAGGAAGCCCTCCCTATACGTCTGAAGCAGGTCCACGTGATCAACGCTCCGGCCTACATCGGCAAGATTCATGCCATCTGCAAGCCATTCCTCAAAGCGGAGGTGGCAAAGATGGTACGTCTTGATTTCTATAATATCAAAATTGTAACATAGCGTAATCATTTATTTATTATCGAATAGTTTCAAGCGTACCGTATTTTTGTTCGCCACCTTATTCATATAAAGTTTTTACCAGTGCTCCTAGCACTTTTACCTTAGACCTTACAGAAGATAGATAACACTCCAATAAACCGACGACAAAGCACTTACTACCTTAGTTTTTTTTATATTAAAAATGCTAATTGTATCTTTATGTACCTATGTTTTTCAATTACGAGAATCCAATAGGTTCATTTTTAAAAAGAAAATTCATGCACTTCTTCTGGATAGCCTTCCACACTAACGTTAAACTCATTTCCTAAGTCCCTTTCAGTCTCATCATCGATATATTTTATATATATGTACGTATGTATATGTGTATTGTATGTGTATATTTATATATATATATATATGTGTGTGTATATATATTTATGTCTTGTGCTCATGTATATTTAATTATTATGTATAAGATATTAAGTACTTTCTATTATGGTATATTTATATTATTAATTATTTTTTTACTAAAGCCGCATATGTGACTTTCTGTACTCCTGAAGGTTGACTGGCAGAGAATACTTTTAGCGTTATGTCCGCCTTTTGTCCATTTTGTAATTGTGGAAATAAAGTTTAAATAAATAAAATAAATCTATTTTTTTTATTGCACCGTATTAATTATCTAGATTGCAATGTTTGAGTTCGGTGATACTTATTTGTATTAGTAACGTCTTTTCCCCGTAGCACCTTATTCTCATTAGCCATTCCATGCGTTGTATGCACAGTGGCTTTGTCCTCGCCCATCTTTAAATGCAAAAGTTACGCATTAGTTCGTTAACATTTAAACCTTGTGAACGCGCTAAATACATTAGGAATCACTTGAGGTCTTTATTTCTAATAGGTTGCAAGACTACTAAGTGAGGAGAAATGCTAAAATAGTATAAAGTCACTGTACTTTCATTTTTTGTGCGAATGCTTTATTAAAAATAGTATGGTAATTTATTCCAATCAAATTAGAATTTCTCGAGGGATTCATTTCCAGCAAGTGGAAATCGTTTTAATACATTCATTTTGGTTTGAAATGTAGGTAATTTGAATATGCGTAATCACAGTTCCCATTCCAGAAAAAAAAATCATTTGTTTTGCAAACTTATATTTTCCGACGTTACATGCCACATATCTTTGAAACAGATTACTCCTGTTGAAAATCACATACAATAAAAAATGTAGAGAATAATCTAAGTCCGACCATAAAGTAATGTAATGATTCATAACAAATTAATGGTTGGATTGGACGGACGATACTAACTTATTTTTAAAACCACTTGTTGTCACAATAGTTACCAATTTGGTTGTGTGTTATTAATGAAACGAGTTCAATGACGTTATAATGTACTGTCGATGATACATAATGTTACCACGTCTTATGTCAATAGGGAATATGCATGTAATTCAAATAAGCCTCATTTTATTGAAGTTATACTTCTTTAGGCGCGTTATGAAAAAATGATGAGAGTGAAATTTTAAGATGCGTGCGCATCACTGTTACACAAAATATAAACTTTTGTGTTTACCGCACATTAAGAAAATCTATCAACAAAATAGAAATAGAATCTCTATTTAGTGGGTGCTAACGACTGCATTGTGAAGGCCTATCAAAAGTATTTATTAATCTGGAACAACGGAACCAAAGCGCGATTCAGGAGACTACAGCGCCATCTCTTGACCATTGGTGTAGTAGAACCAAAAACCACATCTTTATTTTTTGTAATAAAGTAACAGTTATAGGTATTCATATTTATAATATCAAAAGTATTTATTAATCTGGAACAACGGAACCAAAGCGCGATTCAGGAGACTACAGCGCCATCTCTTGACCATTGGTGTAGTAGAACCAAAAACCACATCTTTATTTTTTGTAATAAAGTAACAGTTATAGGTATTCATATTTATAATATTTATCCACATGTTTCTAGTTTGTATATTCGGAATAAGTGTTTGAGTTTCATACAAGTGCAAATCGCATATGTTCTAATAAATTATATTCAGTAGCGATTTTAATTGCATATTTTGATTATTTATTTATTTTTTCAAATTAAAACTGAACTTTATTGACTATGTCCTTTTCCAGACTTTTTATTAATTTATTGTAATTAATTATTTGCATGCAATTAAAAACTAATTTTAAACGATGCCAAAGAAGGATAACTTCTCACGCGCCTACATAAGTACACGCACCCATTTTTTTTTATATAAACTTTATTACTTTTAAGTTGTCCCTCCATCAATATTTGTTAATAAAACTTATTTTCGAGCAAGAAATTAAGGATATAAACGCGCAAAAAACTTGTGAGAATACCAAATATTTTTAAACACAACAAAAGCGATTGTATATTAAAAATTTAACAAACGTGTTGATTACAGTATTACCAATGTCAACGAGATTACGAGATTATAGTGCTAGTGTGTAGATTTCAAAGCCACGTTCCACCTGGACACTGAATGCAACTTTTCACTACGACATTAAAAATTTAACCAAAAATGAGTGAAACATAACTAACGTCTATTTGATTGACGTAGGTTCCGACTTCAATCCGCAGTGAAAAGCAAAATATTAGTAGGTATCTTGTAAGCATAGAGCAACACGGCCGAAGCGGCCAGTCGGCATTCACAGCGTTCCCCTCTGTAGATTTTCTCCCGCTGATGGGCCAGCTTCAAAACAAAACTAAGTCGCGTTCGGATACTTTACTCTAAGTCGCGCGTAACATACACGTTAGAGATCAAAAATGTCAAAATGTTATGTTATTTGCTGTAAAACATTATATCTGGAATATTAAACATACAAAATGATGGTGTTAAATTTCACAGTAGAATTATTAACATATTATTTATATTTAACTTCTTTTAAGCACGAATTTCATATTATTTTGTAAAATTAAATCGTCGGACTTGTTTGACAAAACAATCGACTCGCCAGTACAAATTTCAGATCTGTCAATAAAAAATCTTAAGTTTCATCTATGTCCGATCTAGCGCTGTAGTACAGTCAATCTGTCGAAAAAAATATCGTTTCAGTGAAAAAAAAACCTAAAGGGTAAGTCTTGTTTTTTCTGTTGCCAAATGACGTCAGTAAGCCACCATGGCGATGGGCATGTTCAACTCGTAGGCGTTTTTTGAAAAACTCAAAAAAACTGTCAAAAATTTTTTGAAACGCATTTTTCTTGTTTTGTATGCATTTTAGAAACTTTTTTTCGACCATAATTGTAGAGGGCGTTGAGTGCTACAATTTATGTCATTGTTGCAATCTCGTACAACAAAAAATGCGCATTGTAGGTGGCGCTAAAGTCTTTTTTTTTCAATCATGAAAAAAAATAAAACTATTTTTTTTTCATTTTTTTTGTTTTTCAATCACGGAAAAAAATAAAAAATAGTAAAAACGTACATTGAAATGTGCACTGCAAAAATGTGTACTTGAACTGCCCAAAACCGCTCTATTGGATTTTTCATACCTCTGCGCAATTTATAACTTGAAAACGGTAAGTAATACAAAAAAATTGTTTATACAAAAGTTGTTGGTAATTATATACGAAACAACTTTGACTTTTAAAGTTTTCTATTAAAATGATATTTTCAGAGTGAAAAAGTGAAAAAACACTTTTTTTGAGACTTTAGCGCCACCTACAATGCGCATTTTTTGTTGTACGAGATTGCAACAATGACATAAATTGTAGCACTCAACGCCCTCTACAATTATGGTCGAAAAAAAAGTTTCTAAAATGCATACAAAACAAGAAAAATGCGTTTCAAAAAATTTTTGACAGTTTTTTTGAGTTTTTCAAAAAACGCCTACCAGTTGAACATGCCCATCGCCAAGGTGGCTTACTGACGTCATTTGGCAACAGAAAAAACAAGACTTACCCTTTAGGTTTTTTTTTCACCACTCAACCTACAGATTGACTGTACTACTGTCATTTTTATGTGCGAGTGTCGTAATTACAATTTCGTTTTGGCAAATGTATGTCGGACTGCATTTGTGTGCATATTCCTCCCCCCGCAAAAAGCAGCAGAATGATTTCAGTACCCTTAGCACGAAACAATATCAAATTCGAATAGTTTGCGAGTCCGAAATGACATTGTCAAATGTGTACTAATTTTTAGTTCTCGTTACGTAGTATATGGAGTTGCTGTTCAAGTTTCCATATAAAATTTAACAATGACATTCCGGACATATAATATTCGAATTCGATAATGGTCCGTGCTAGGGGTACTGTAGTATTATGTCATTATGGCTATTCCCCTTCAAGCCGCGTCGGCTGTGTTGCTCTTTGCTTGGAAGGTACATTTGATCCTTGATATTGTTTGAATTTATAGGTTTAGATGTATTGTGTCGTCACATCCCAGCGTTCGAGTGGTTCGAATATTTTAACGCGCGTTTAAACTGTCCGTGTGTTTTTTCGACGTACTAGATTTTTTAATACTGTATAAAAGTAATGTAAACTACTAAATAAAAATATAAAAAAAATCATGCCTATTCCCAATTGATTGTAAATTTTATGTCTGACCAGTTTCAGCGATATATGAAGCACAACATAACCAATTGTTGTTGATTTGTTTTTCAAGATAATAAGTAAACATCACGGACATTGAATTGATAATATCTGTTCAAAGATCACGTGTATTTTTTATCCCTGTTACCTAAGTATTTTTAATCCACGGTCTCCTTTCAGTAGATTTAAAATAACACTACATAGATGGCTTATTGAACGTAAATTCTACTCTGTTCAGGAATTCTAAATTATATAATAGCTAATTATATAAATAGTATTAATTTTGGTGGATGAGATTTTTAGTGACATATACGGATTTAGTTATATTTTTGATTCACATTTTAAATATGGCCTGTTTATAATCGAATTTTTTGACTCCTTATTCTGTGACTTGTTAAATAATTTTTATTCAATTATGTGACATAGTAGTAATTAATTTGATAAAAAAACTTATGTAAATTTGCATGCTACGGTATATAGCTGAATAGGTGAAACCTACAGTATGGTCATGTGTAACTATTTGTGACCTTGATTACTCTGTTCAAACGCAAATAAAATATTCTATTGTACTCTGTATGCTCTCAGGCCAGTGACCCTACTTTATTTCCCTTGCTTAGACGCGTCGTCGGCCACAGAATTGTATTTGGGCAATATAAGGATTATTTTCTACTAAGACAATTTTTATTTCCGGATCCACTACCTGGGAGCCCTACCGGCCGCATGGGCACAGTGCAGATGGGTGGGTGCTAACGACTGTAGATGCAGCGGGGACTAACTGCTTTACGTGCCTTCCGAAGCACAGAGGAGCTCGAGATAGTAAATTTTTATTCATCCCTCCAATGACCGACTACTGTGAAAATTGCATAACTTCAACAACACTGGCGCCATCGAGCTCCTCAACGATAATATAGCTGATTAAAAAGCTGGTTTAAAAAGTTTCTTTCCTTTACAGATCAAGTTCCATGAGCCCAATTCGGACACTCTTTATAAGGACATCCCACGGGAGCTTTTGCCCGACGAATATGGCGGCAAGGCAGGTTGCCTGGATGACATCAAGCGGCACTGGGTAAAGCGAATGGAGGCTAAAAGGTATATACGTATAGCTATTACTAGACGCTAGTAATTTTTAACCCATAGGCTAATAAGGTTGCTAGGGATCAAGAATCAGCAGCACCTGCTGCCTTTCTTTTTGAGAGCATTTAGATAAATTTAGTGGTTCTTAACCTTTCAGTGACGAGGGACCATTGGTAAAATGTCGTTTCTGTCTTGCCACGGACCACCACTTACGATTTGCACCATCTAGAATTAGTAAATCTGACTTATGTGATATTTTTTCGAATGAATTCGCGGACCACTTCGGGTGTTTCCAAGGACCTCCAGTGGTCCGCGGACCACCGGTTAAGAACCACTAATTTAGATAAATGCTTGATTTTTGCATAAACAAATATGTTGTCTTTACCAGGGATTGGTTCCTATCGTCTGACAAACGCTGGGCGGTGGAGGAGTCGCTGCGGCCGCCCGCCGCGTGCGCCGATCCGCGCGCGCGCTCTGTACGCGACTTGCCCGGCTCGTTCCGCTCGCTCGCATTCGACTAGATTCGTATATGTCTGTCTCACTCACTCCTGCCTCTGTTATAGTCGGTAGGAATGGACTGTGTTGTGTCCTGGAGCGTCAGAAACTTATCGGTTTCGAATGCGTTAGATTAGAATCACATCATTAAAGTGTGTTGTATTGCAGCGCTTATTCGCATATTGCCTACCCTGATCCCATGCTTAGCCACAAAAGAGTTCTCGACACTGGAAAATAACTCTAAAGATATTATTGTTATTTGGTTGTAGTTATCTGTAAGATGCAAGTTACTTCCCCCAACAGGGGATAAAACCCGCTTTCTTTTGTTTGATTATTTGTAGTTGCATTGGAAGTGACGATTGTGAGTGTGATTGTGAATCTAATGAAAATGGTGGTTAAGCACCCAGTCAGTAAATACCTCGTTTAAATCTGAAGAAAACTTTACTAGAAAGAGATTCCAAGTGGACCAGGCAGCAGACGGGCCAAAATATACCCTGTTTAACTTAAGAAGTTCAAGTTAATGTCACCATAGTATAGTATTGCTATATTGAGATTTGCGCTATTTAGTTGGCTAACATAACATTTCTAAATCTGTAGGCTATAGGCTCTCAAAATTTCTTGCAACTACGAGAATACCGTACTATAAAGAAATAATAATAGGTATTACTGACATATTTCAATATTCTGCTAATGCTGTCAATAAGTTTTCTATTAAATAACTTTGATTAGTCCATGATTTGGGTTATCGACTATTATTATTTTATAATACATAGTTTCTCTATCATACTTTTTATTATAGTGAATACTGAATATTTTTAGATTTTTTTTAGACACCTTGGACTTAGTTGTGTTAAAGTTACCATACTCCCATGTATAAAGTACCATTTGTTTAAAGTAAAATTAATTACGATGTGAACGTCATTCTTTTGCTTTGTTTCATTTATTTTGATGTAAGTAATTCTAAAAATATTGGAATCAAAAACTTTATGTGATATTAAGTAGATTTAAAAAAAAAGTATTTATAAAGAATTTTTGTGATTAATAAAAGGGTTTTTATGAGAAAACTATGATCAGTTAAAACGTTTTTTCTTTCTTACATTTTAAATACATTTCTAAATATATTAGTTATATTCCGGAGTTCTAAGAGAGACAGACTCAAAATAGGTACCTTATAGATTATGTTTACTCAGAGAATAAAAGTAAAATTAATATTTGTTGTCGATACCAATCCATGCAGTAAATGACAACTCAGATCTATTGGATGGCGTATGGCGCCAGCTCCAAATTATAATTCTACTTTAAATATGTAGATCAAAGTAAAATTGAAGTTGTAGATACCAATGCCTATCCTGGTCCCTAGGTAACTATCCTGATCACGGTCGTCTGAAATGGGTATCGTGCCTGTATCCATCTGAAATGATGATGCTGGTCACTGCCAACTTCTGAAATAGCTATATATCCTGGTCACGTCACCAACTGTAATGGGTATCGCGCCAGTAGACAGCGTCTGTATTAGTTAGTATACAGCTCTCACATCTGCACTCTATTTACGTGATGGCTCACGGCTCAATGTCTATATTCCCTCTATAGAGAAGGGCTGTGGAGGCATTTGGCGGTTGATGATACAAGACGAATAATCATCGATTTATGCAAAAAATATTTGTTTGCAACTAAACCATTTTTCCCGTTCCATCTACTTGTGGTTTTGTTGAAAAGAGTCACATGTGCATATCAAAGGAGGTCACAGACGTTTAAATTAATTTACAAATAGAAGCCAGTCGGGGCACTTTCGTTATAATCCCACCTGGTTTTTAGTACCGACCGAACCGGTATATTTGCGACCGCCCGGCACACGTCACACATGACTACTTCTTCTGACAGACACTTTCGCATTTATATTATTAGTATGGATCTTTCTTTATGTTAAGAGTGTGGCAAATAAGCGTATGGCCCGCCTGATTGTAAGCGGTCACCATAGTCTACAGACGCTTGCGATACCAAAAATATCACTCGCCCGTAGCCTAATCTGACCCAATCCCATACCCCTTGGAGTCCTGGAACCGACGACAGAAACGGATATGGATGTAAGCTCTCCGTAGGCTGTAATGATTCACTCTAGAATAAGGGCCATTATCATACACGAATTAGCCAGCCCCACTACACTGAATCCAAATTATGCACACATTTTTATATTCTAGAATGAATTATTACAGTCTGTCAGTGAGCCATCGCCATCCATTGTGCCACCAATATTATAAATGCGAAAGTGTGTCTGTCTGGTTACCTCTTCACGCTTAAGCCGTTGAACCGGCTTAGATGAAGGGACATATTGCAAAGTTCTTATTCCAAAAATCTTCTTTTAGATGGGGTGAAAAGGAACTTCTTTTTTTATTTCAAACCGATTAGCATCAGCTAGTAGTTTATAAGTAGGTACCTAATTCTTGACTTATTATTTTTATGACTCTTAAATTCAGATCTAATAATGTAAATATCTTATTCCCCACGTTCTTTCCCCGATCATTAACCCAACTGGACTGAAAATTTCCCGCAGTATGGTTTTTCCCCAGGGATTGACAAATACACATGAGGATGGGACATTTTATTCAAACATTTCAATTATTTTGAAAATGTAATAATTTTGCACTGTGAATGCGAAATTAAGGTTTCAAAACAAAAACAGGTTTTTGAAATATTGTTTTTTTTTCAACCAGTCTTTATACATGATTTTGTGTTTGTTAGTTTTCTTTATTTCTATGTTAGCTTGTTAAAGTTATTTTAATAATGATTTTCTCTTTATATCTATGGTAGCTTATTTCTTTTAATTTAATGTAGTGTTTTTGTAGTTTAATTTAAGTATATTTGAGACATATTTGTTTCTTAGGTTTTCACGCACATCACTCATTAAATAAAACTAGTTTTTTACGGGTTAATGCACGAAACTTTATTTATTTATTGACGTTTCGCAGCCTTTACAGGCTGCGTCGTCGGAATAAATTTTTTATTTGATATAAAATTAAATAAAAAATTGATAAAGTTGAATAAAGTTTTGTGCATTAACCTGTAAAAAACTAGTTTTATTTAAATCTAAAGAAAAGTTTACTAGAAAAAAAATCCACGCGGACCAGGCAGCGGACGGGACTCGAACCCGCATCCTTCGCAATCCGGGCGAATGCACTGACCATTATGCTACCACGGCCCTCTTCGCCGCATCGAAATTTTCCTAGCCTTTGGCTGCAAGGCAGCGCCATCTCTTCGCATTGTAGGCAACCCACAATGTCAAATGAATACTTTTTCAAGTATTAAACATTTGAAAGAAGAAATAGCAATTATAGTTATGATTTTATTTATTTTTAAGCATTTAACTGCTAGATGTTTAAATCTAAAGAAAACTTTACTAGAAAAAAATCCACGCGGACCAGGCAGCGGACGGGACTCGAACCCGCATCCTTCGCAATCCGGGCGAATGCACTGACCATTATGCTACCACGGCCCTCTTCGCCGCGTCGAAATTTTCCTAGCCTTAGGCTGCAAGGCAGCGCCATCTCTTCGCATTGTAGGCAACCCACAATGTCAAATGAATACTTTTTCAAGTATTAAACATTTGAAAGAAGAAATAGCAATTATAGTTATGATTTTATTTATTTTTAAGCATTTAACTGCTAGATGTTTAAATCTAAAGAAAAGTTTACTAGAAAAAAATCCACGCGGACCAGGCAGCGGACGGGACTCGAACCCGCATCCTTCGCAATCCGGGCGAATGCACTGACCATTATGCTACCACGGCCCTCTTCGCCGCGTCGAAATTTTCCTAGCCTTAGGCTGCAAGGCAGCGCCATCTCTTCGCATTGTAGGCAACCCACAATGTCAAATGTTTAATACTTGAAAAAGTATTCATTTGACATTGTGGGTTGCCTAATGGTCAGTGCATTCGCCCGGATTGCGAAGGATGCGGGTTCGAGTCCCGTCCGCTGCCTGGTCCGCGTGGATTTTTTTTTTCTAGTAAACTTTTCTTTAGATTTAAACATCTGGCAGTTAAATGCTTAAAAATAAATAAAATAATAGTTTTATTTATATTTCAGACAATTTTATGACAAAAGAGTGAGGACAGCCCCGATAGACGTCTTTTCTAGTTGCCTTCTTTATCATACAAGTATTATATGCTTGATGTATTCTCGTGACGATTTTTGTTATAATGAATAGCCCTCCCTGTACATATACCTCACGTTACATTCCGAGGACGCGGCTCGCTCGTTTTATTATTCTGCTGATGGCATTGTCCATGTCGTAGATTTCACGCACTCGTTGGCATTATGTGACACAGCCACTACGGCATGCAGGACACTGTCGTATAGTAAGAATTTATATCTCTTCCTGCACCCGTAACCCCTGAAGGTAATGGGTATTTTTTCCTCCTTCGTATGTTCAAGGTATAAGTTTTTTATGTGGGATATAGGCGCCCGGTGAATCCAGGATTTGGGGCGTATGGTATATCCAGAGGATTTCTGTGTATGCAAAACCGTTTCCGCGTTATTTTTGCCACCACACATGGATTTGCGTACTTTAACCGGAAAAGGTTTTTTCTATCGATGAATGGCAGCTGATTTACATCTCCCAGTAGAACGACCTTTTGCATATCCGCTATGCGAATGATCATGTGTAAGCAGCCCAGTTGGTTCACAAGGGCTTCACCTATAATGAGACGTCGGCAGCTCTCCTTAGAACCGTTCACCATTATGGACTATAACCCCGTTAATCCTGTTGATTTCGGGTACAACCCATGGTTCCAATGCTGTTTCCGAGCTTTGACCCCTAGATTGTATCCGCCATCCGAACATCCATCCGACGAGTAGTCAAGCATCTCCTATTTTAGACAGCTCGCGAGACTTTTCAAGACAGCTCTGTTGAAAATTCAGAAATGATTAGTGGCAATTGGAATGTCCTGAGGCGGGATACAGGAACTCCGTTTGGAGGTGAGTTTCTCGCTGCTCGAGCACTTTCATTTTGCACCGTCACCAGAAACTGGAAACTGAGAGCGGTAAGGATCCTTGGGCTAGTTTCATATAAGGCAAGGTAGGGTCTATTATGTATGCGTTACATATATTAAGCAAAGTACTAATGATGAAGATAACATGCGGTGTTTTAGTGAAATAGAAACATTTGCCAACGAATTAAAAGTCACAATTGGTGATATAAATTTAAATAGTGCATCTCTGAATGTAACCAATTATTATTGTTATTTTTGCCACGAAAAATCCCACTCCTGGCTGGAGGTAGCTGCGCAGTAGCTACAGGAGTGAGAATTTTTGGCACACAGGGCTAGGGTATGGTCGTTTCCTAGACATTTGGTGCATTGCACCAACAGAGATTGGTCAAATACCGATCGTTTCTGTAGGCCTATGTACATCCTCCCCGCCGTCAACTTTTGTGGATTTCGGGCGGTACCTTAAGTACAGGATGCCACTCCGAGGATTCCGTGCCTTTTTCCTGTACCTCGGTTTCCGTCGCCTAAGGTGTGTTGTTTTTGTACCAAAAGTTTTGCAAGTATGTCTTCATCCTTGTGGTACATTAGAAAGTCCTTTATATAAGGGGGTTGTTGGTTTTGGGGACTTGTGCTTTCAGGGTCTTGTTGTTGGCGACCCTGTCCTTAACTATTGGCACGTAAGTTCTCTTTCGTTCCGCATCTTATTATAATATTTTGGTTCTTAACCTTCTTTACTCCGTCTCCTATTATCCTATTTTTGAGATGTTTAAGGCAGCCTTGATTACCTGGCCACCGGTGTTTTTGGGGTTTGTAGAGGAGACGATAAGGGTGTAGTTCGGTGTCGGTATTGGGCGTTGTTGTGGTACTAGTTTTAGCTTAGGTGGCGGTGGTTGGCAGCGGCGGTATACAAAAATTCAGTTACCTCTCTTTAGGTTCACATCACAATGTAAGTAAACTAAAGTGTTTATAAATTGTAAAATTTATTGTTACTTGCATACATCAAATATGAATACCTAAGTACACTGTATTAAAAATAGACTTTGGAGAAATAAAAACTACCTAGCTATGGAGTCTTAAATTAGAAAAAACTTTCGGCTGGTGATAACTTGATATAATATACATATAAAGGTAATTTATTACCAAGTCCCCTATGTATTTTAACCTTCGATCAACAATTCTGTAGATGACAGGTTGCATACAAAATCAATGTTAAAAACTGTCCGCGTATGTTTAAACTTATGCAGCTACATTCGATTCCCAATGAACAAAGATAAATGTTTTAAAACAGTTTAAGTTAAACCCATGAATGACTGGTCTCGCTTCACTCGACCGAAGCGAGAACAATCATTTATCTATAGTTGAACCTAATAACAACTATCTCACAAAGGAATAAGGCTACAAATAATAAAATGTTATTTCGCACATACGACTTTTTATCTTATAAAACGAACTCTTGTTCCTTTTATAAAATATATCTGATACTTGGAAAAAAACGATAAAGGTGAAAAAAGGAAAATGTGAAATCAACCACAAGACCCACAATATAAAATATTTTTAGCAGTCATTGGCCAGCGAGTTACTTCGTTTTGTAGTAACCGAAAAATTAGAAATAAGATCTCACGCCTAAGTGAGGCTATATTTACCGAGACGGATTTTACGTGCTGACCCATTATGTTGATCGAAGATTTTAACACAGAAAAAGGAGATTGCTCAGCTTCCATACATATTTGACAATAATCATGAAAAATTGTTTCCTAGATTCGAAATTATATATAAATTACTGTAGAAACGAATATTATTGACGGACACCCCTGAGAACTTCTATAAACCATAAACACTGAACATATTGAAATAATAAAAAACAAATAAGTTATATAGTAAACTAGGGAAATCAAGCCAAGTACCGAAATTATGGATTAGATTCAGGTAGGTATATAGAGCATGTAGATTAACAGATAGTTGCCTGTTTTTAAAGTTAATGCATAAGAGTAACTTTAAAAATCAGGTGTCATTTCCGGTTATAATAAGGTACTCTGTGACAGAAACTGTGTGATGATTGTGAATGAGCCACAGATTAGAGAGAATTTTTAAACTCTCGTCAACCAAAGAAAGCTAATAGATTTAGGCACTATAGCCATATATTCAGTAGCTTCATTATTTTTGTTATGTTTTACGATAACCATATTTTAGATTTTTAGTGTATCACACCTTATAATTTTATTTATTTATTAATTTATAGTCAGGGAACGTAGGCCCATAGATAGATACCTTAAAGTCTAACATATATACAGAGGTTGCTTTCCAATTACAGAGCATAATGCGACTCAGTGCCGCACAATGCTGAATTATGCTGATGCGTAATTGGAACGAGAATTAGTTTTCAAATGCACCAGCAGAGTGCGCTAAGTTCAGTGTTGAAAAAAAAAGTCAATGTTTGTACCTTCATCCATACTTATATTTATTTTTTAACAGTTTAAATGAACTCTGATTATTTAAAAAAAACTATTTAATGAAACGAAAGCTTTAATAATTTTTCAACAATAAATAATATTACTAACGATAACATATAAATAAAACATTTCGATCAATGCCAACTTAAAGAAAAAACACTTGTTAATTTTCTGTCTCTAAGTTGGTACGATTGCACGCATCACACGAAAGCATCACTTTTGAGAGTGCTCAATTGTGCGAAGCGTTGCTGTAGTTGGAACACTCAACGTTAAGCATTATGCCGCATAATGCGCTATAATGCTGTAATTGGAAAGCAACCAGATTATACTGTGTTTATGGAGGTGTTTGGCGAAAAATGTATGGCAATAGACTTTATGATGTCGCCTACCATCTATAATAATTGTCTGAGCACATTTGCATCTAGTGAAAATGATAATATAGTTGTGGATATTATTACCACAGTGTAATAAAACAAAAAAATATATTTTATCGATCTTATTAGAAAAGAGATTTGTTTTTATGTAATATAAACAACTTCGCTCAGTCTTTGGCTGAATGTTACTACACCCATAGCCATTAAAAATGATTCGTATGTTTTCCAAACCGGTAAAATTAAAAGACCTTTTTAAAGTAAATATATTATACAAAGGTGTCCGTTGAAATAATGACTGTAAATTAAATTATAAATTACGCCAAGAATTACCGTGTATGTCAATATTTATTGTGCATTTGGGCCAATTTGAGCAATCTCCTTTCAAATGTTTTTTGATATTTTTAATTTTATAGTGATATAGTAGTTGTACTTGAATTAAGCAAACGTTGGTAAATCCGTTTTTATAACTATAGTCTCTGTTTAAGTTACTAAATTGAATATGTAAGAACACATTACAACTCGATAATGCAAAAGAAAATTAAAATCAGACACAGCACGTTTTAAAAAGACCCTTTGTTCATACTTAATGATAAATCTTTGACAAATTTATTGTATCTTTATCGCTAAAAACTTATTTAATTTATAAATATCTTATCAATCTATACAAAGAGATTTAAATGAACCGGTCATAGAATTTATTGAAGCACTGCTCTTCGATTTCTTCTTGAGGTCTGACTTCCAGAGATTGTCATTGAACATTGATCTGAAATAAATAAAGTTTTAATAAATCCCCTGAAATATTCAAATATCTATCAAACACACAATCGGTAATTTTAGTTTCAGCGTTAGATCTTCGTCACAAATGTCAGGTAGGTACCTACTTAATCATATTACAATGGTGGTGTGAAGGGTGCATTCGTCGTTGTCAAACCAATATCTTCTATGTGCACTTTTTGAAGTCTTCGACATTGTTATCATTATTACTATTTTCATCATTATACTAAGCGAATTTATGCATAGTAAAACTGCTATACAAATCTTATCATGGTAACGGTGAAGAGAATTTGCTAAAAATATGCCATGTGCATCAGCCAGAATATTGTCAAAATATTAACTGCTATGTTTGTAACTTATTTTATTTGCACATAGCAGATATCGGTTTGACAACGACCATATGTTCCTATTATTCATCGATCGGCGCGTATTCAATTCACTCTCGTTTCTGTACTGAATCTGTACAAATTATTTACCGATTGTAAACAGACCTCTCTGTACTGAGTGCTATCGAACCATTCCACACAAAAAGGTAGCAAACAAAACAAAACGATACCGCACTGAAAGCTGAGCCGATCAAGCAGTGGTTCTTGGTAAAAAGGCTATGTATATACACTTACATATGTATATTGGCCCAATTAATGCTAGTTTTTACGGTCTGTAGCAAAAATAGAATTAAGTTAGTTGAGCAATAATAATATATAAAAAACACACACGAAATAGATGGTTAATAAATCAACTTGAAAACTGCGAAAAACCTTGCTCAGAGTAACATTTATTAAAACTTAAAATTCTAGGTTGGCCGATAGATGACTCCGGGAATATAGATTCAGTACAGTAACGAAACGAGTACGCGCCGATTCATGGGGCGTCCATTCCATTAGACGTTCATGCAGGCGTCAGTAATTTCAATCAGTCATGAATGATAGAAAATGGATGGCGACTCGCTTGTTAACGAGACGGTTTTTACCTGGGCCGATGCCGGCTAAGCTTGTTCACGAGCTCAATAGGCCACGCACTTAGCTTCTAGCGCGGGTAGTCCTACGCACGTCTGCGGGGTCTCCCGAAATACCCCAGGTGACCTGTTGGGTGCGGAGATACGATGAAGTCCCTCAACGGGGATCTCATGGTTCCGCACTTAACAACGTACAGGGTATTCGCAAATTAGAAAGGTTTGTATGTTTGTCTCGAACCCAAACTGTCACTCGCTAGCGCCGGTGTCGTTAATAAACTTACATGGTACCCCATACCCAGCTGATGATCGGACGATGACACGGTTTAAAGCCGTGCTTAGACCCGGTAGAAATCAATCTCGTTAACAAGCGCCCTAAGTCATCAGTCACCTCATTAGATGGCAGGTTATTATAACCTTGACTGCTAGTAAACTGACATCAAAACCACCTTCAAATGCATGAAGTTATATAACATTGGTCTAATGGACACCTAACACTGGAATGGCAGTATCGTTGAACATTATCTTACAGTCAATGATCTTTTAATACCTCTGTTCCTGTATAGTTTGGACCCATTCCATGTGCTGCTGTTTCATACCGCCGGCGACACCTCCGTACTCTGTCGGTAGGTACTGCTTGCCTATACTCCTCACTAAGCCTTCCGGTTTTTCATGGAAAGTAATCTGAAAGCAACAATAAAAAACCAATAAAGCAACCAATATGAGAAAGTTCTTAATAAAACATAAAATAAAAACCTAGGTTTAATAATAATTGGTAATCCAATGGATTTAAGTTTGCAATACACGAAGAGGACGACTAAATCGAATAATGAGGAACAGTATGATAATATTGTCATTCCTATGATATGTACTTCGTTAACGAAAAACTATAACTTTAAAAAAATATAAAATAAAAACTTATGCCCAGTGTAAGGGCAAATGATCCCAAAAAGGAATCAGTTGAACCGAAAAGATCCAGCTAAATAATAAATCTGTAATATTTGCGTGTAATGCTTTCGTTTTTACTAACATAGAAATTAAATTTTTAATAAACATTTTAAAGATTATATTTTTGTATTCAATTTTGAAGTATGTATTTACATTTTTTCTAGTTAAAGGAAAGTAAGTAGGATAAAATCAATAGCCAGAGGCTTATTTCAAACTTTACTTTATTAGTCCAGACATGTGATAAAATGATGTCAAGGTTTCTAAAAACGGCCTTACTGAGATTCGTGACTGCGTTGCAAAGCAGCTGTTGCAATTAGTGTGTAGTGAGTGTTCGCTTGATACATGGGCAGTTCCAAAAATAGCCAGTGAAATAAAACGAGGGTAAACTTTAAAGGTACATTACGTAAATTACCAAGCTGCGTTATTTATTCGTTTCTTCAATTTTAAACGAGAGAAGCTTAAGATTGAAGCTGACCCCCGACAGCAGTAGCCGATGACAAAGTCATCAGGATTGAGTTATTAAAGCGGAACATAACCACACTGGGAGGTTCAGGTTGTACTGAGGCCTAAACACGAGTTTTGACAGCTCCGTAAAGTTACGTAATCGCCAACCAAAGTTTCTATGAAAAATAAGCAGCACTCCTATCGGACGTAAGAACAAACTAGCTTTTTCCATGCGAAATTTGACGATTACGTTACTTAACGGAGCTGTCAAAATCTCATGCTTGGGCCTCTGAAGACTGGATCACACGCAGTCAGTTTCTAGTCTAAATACTATAAGGAATTCTACCATCGAAATAGTCCAAATTTCGATATGTCAATAGTAGATAGTAACATTAGAAAAGTTTGAAGGACCCCACAAAAATTTTCTTACAAATTAATCTAAGAAACTTTTTACATACGACGAGTCTTGGATGTACAGATACGCTTCTCTCAAGAAGCAGTTTAATCATCGTAATAATACCTTGCAGTTCGCTTGCTAACAGCCATCGTCTGTAACACAAGTTTAGGGGTACAAATGCCCAACCTTCGATTTAACACTAAAGCCCACGTTAAGAATGCTTTATGGACACAAACACACCGCAGACGAATTTGTCTGTAAGCCATCGAAGAGTTTTTATCAGATAGTTTATGACCAACGGCAGACAAGTTTTTCAAATGTTTTGATAACTGTATATATATATACTTAACCCGTATGCTCAACAGAATGGAGGGGACGTTTTTTAAAAACAGTCTTTTTATATCACTTTGTTAAACGTCGATGTAGTTTCATTTCTAGATGTTATGACACTGGGAATAGAATAAACTAGCAAACCAGTGAACCAAATGTTCACCAAAAAAAAAAATGTATTTAATTAATTGAGAACTTCGGAGATTTTGTGTGGTTTCGTTTGAAATAGAAATCACGTGATTTCTCGAAAACCGGAAGTGTTACGTTACTCACATCCGGTTTGTAGTCTTATCAGACTATTCTTAACTTATAACTTCAACATTCTCTATATCTATCTCTTACGGTTTGTCCGCTGAAACAGCACCACGGACGGACGGACGGACTTGTCTAATAGATAAGAGACTAGCAAACCAGTGAACCAAATGTTCACCAAAAAAAAAAAATGTATTTAATTAATTGAGAACTTCGGAGATTTTGTGTGGTTTCGTTTGAAATAGTAATCACGTGATTTCTCGAAAACCGGAAGTGCTACGTTACTCACATCCGGTTTGTAGTCTTATCAGACTATTCTTAACTTATAACTTAAACATTCTCTATACCTATCTCTTACGGTTTGGCCGCTGAAACAGCACCACGGACGGACGGACGGACTTGTCTATTAGATAAGAGATACTTAAAACTCACTATATTGCAGATTTCCGTTGGTAGCGCAGGCTTGACAAGGGAGAACAGCTTATCTATGTACGAGGGGCAGTTGACAATATGCACTTGTTTCACTCGAACAGGCATGCCTTCCTGTAAAAATCAACCATGTCATATTTGAATTCCTCATTCCATTAACAATTGTTTTGCTTAGAACAATTTTTTACCCAAAAATTATTCAAAATAATATAGAATCTTGAGTGAAAGAAAGTTTAAGTATCGACTAATCAATCTGCAAAAAGGTTATTTGATACACAGATTGATAAAATGATTAGCGTCAGAAATGATACTAACACTGATAAATTCCTACATGCTATTCTTGTCTTCTTCCTGGTCTAAATATTTATCTTTTCAATTTGTTCTTGAATTATTATTGTCTAGATTGTACTGAGACTACTTCTGCTGGTAATTTGTTCCAGGCGTTACCAATTAACAGCCGTCGAAAATATTTAGGCGTACATAAATTACGTAAGCAATATGGTAGAAAACTTCTTGATTAAATTAATTTTAGATATTTAAAATATTTCCTAATACTGACTGACTGGAAATTTGAATATGAGTGCAAATTCTAATAGGATTGAGTAATCCTAATAACCTACTGATATTATAAACCTGTGACCACCCGTGACTTTATCTGGTAAGATTAGTTTTTTGAGACTCCGTCAGGAACTTAAGAATTATTCCTCTCCCTTCATAAACGACTTAACGAATTTGGATGAAATTTGGTACACATATAGTTTATTACTTGAACTGGGAATAAGAGGTAGGATTATTTTTATCCCGGAAAACAATGTTCCTATGAGAGATTCACAAAAAACTACTATAAAACATACGTTTGCTGGCGGAAGCTATTCTGCAATAAAAAAAAACAACCCAAAAATGTCTTAAGGAACTCGAAAGTTCCTTAGCACCTATTACAGTAGCTAGCATTTGCTCGGAAAGTGTTCTTTTATATACACAATATATGGAAAGTGGCTCTTTTCTGCACGTGTGCAAAAAAGTTTTTTTTTTTATTTTTAAGCCTTGCGCCACGCCCTGGCCCCACGCAGCATTGTGTTTATTTGTTTTTTTCAATAAACAGCTTTTTATTTCAGTTCAGGTCGAAATTTAAATGAAACCTTTGATAGGTTACCTCCTTGGTTCTTATGTTTAGGAGTAAATAACACGGCAGATATGAGTTTAATTAAATGGATTATATTTATATTTTATTTCCTCGTAAAATATATTGAAAAGTGTTGTATGACACGTGAGCGTAAAAGGTTATTACGAATGCGTACTACTGAGAACATTCGCTGCGCTCATGTTTTCATTATGTGGTACTTAGTCGCAATAACCTACTTACCGCACGTGTATTATGCGTAAATAATTGAGGAACTGGGGAAGAAAACGGTATAATTACATAAAATAAAATTTTACAGGAGGTGTATAAAGCTGAATGACATAATACCTACAGTGAGATTTTGGCATGGTTTCTTTATTTATAAATTTAGTAATTTAAACAATGTTTTAGGTGGTTTTGATTGAAATTTGTTTTGAGATTCAAATGCAACTGGTCCCGAAACCTCAGGACTGTAAAAAAAATAGTAGCTTGACCACATGCGTAATTATATCGTTTTGTTCGCCAGCTCCTCAATTATAACCGAATTATCAAGCTATCTAATCAACAAAGATACAACATAAAAAATGTAACGTCGTACTCACCAGAAGATAAACTAAGAAATCCCTGAAGAACATGATATTGACCTTTGGAATTATTTTGAGCGTGTAGTCCTTTATGTCGATGACGATGATGTGTCCATCGGGGAAGCGGTCGTGGACCTTCAGCCAGTAATCAGCTTGGATGCTGAACGCCTTGAGGACGTCGTAGTTCGAAAAGTGCTCCAGTGTGGGGTCATCCAACTGGTGAATGAGGATTTCATTGTTGCCAGCGTCCCATGTGGTTACTGCTCTGTAAGTTTTAAAACTACTGTATTAGAAAATTTTACTAGAATTTTTTTTTTTAGTTTTAATCATCTAGCAGTTAAATACATAAAATACAGAAAGCATGTCGCTGAAGACATGGTTGCCCCAGCTTCTACGGATCCTACCTTTATGAAACGAATAATAACTGGCAAGAGACATGGGTTTATGAGTACGATATGCAAACAAGCCAACAGTCTTCAGAATGGCGTTTCGAAATCGAGCCGTAACCCATAAAACCGAGGCAAAGTCGCTCCAAAATCAAGGTGATGCTGACAGTTTTTATAGCACTAAAACTATTACAATAGTATGCAAATTTTAAGTAGATTATTTTTATTATTGTCTTTTTTGATAAAATACTTATTCCTTAGTAAATTCCTAGCGTTACATGCTTTATAATCGCTGTTATAAAATTTAGGTTTGTACTTTGATACAAATCCATAAGACATCTAGGAGTGACCTAATATTTGAGAATATTTAAAAAGGAGTTTATGGATCTTCCTGCGTTTGGTGCAACGTCAATGGGTTTTAGGTTTTAGCACAGCTGCTGATTTAGTGAATCACACGGCAATTTATTTATATTAGAACCTAACATAAAAGCTACCTTTATATTTTAGCATAATTTTTTGATCACTACTACGCGCATGCCACAGCCCTAAGTGTAGCTTACGCAGTCTAACCATAACAAGACAACTGTATAAGATTATGGATTCCTTAAAGGTGCAGTTACTGCTCATTGTTTTTCGATTTTTAATGTTTAAATCTTCTTACTAAGATTTTAGAATGACCTATTGATATAAAAATGGCAAGTCATTGAGATAATACTCAATAACTTAAAACAATGAGTCCATTGGAAATTATTAGTATTAGAACAAATCCTACTATAATTAGGGTTACCATCCGTCCGGATTAGTCTGGACATGTCCGGACTTTAAGACACTAATCCGGACTTTGTATCTTTGATCTTTAAATTATCCGGATTTCTTAAATTACTTTGAATATGAATAATAAAAGTACATATTAATTAAAACACCACACCATTGTAACTGAGTGAGTAATGGTACCATTTTGTGACTAAAAAGTCCGGACTTTTTTCAAAATGTCAGGATTTCTATCAGGAGTTTTGAAATTCCTAAATGGTAACCCTAACTATAATATAATACTAGTCCTACTTATATTATAACTGTAAAAGTTTTTATGTTTGAGTGTTTATGCGTTTCTTACTCAATCAAGCAAAAACTACTGAGCGGATTTCGATGAAATTCGGGACACATATATAGTTTATGACCTGGAGCTTAGGATAGGATACAGGAGCATAGTATACTTTTTATCAGTCTGTCTGTCGGTCCGTCCGTCCGTTCGCAGATAAGCTCAGGGGCTATTAGTGCTAGAAAACTGTAATTTGGCATGGATATATGTATATCCTTTTAGTCAAACCAAAAAAGAAGTAAAAGAAAATCTTAACATAATACACTTTATGCGGCCATTTTAGTATATTATATATATTGTTTTCTCGTTTAGCTAGCCCTTGGGAGAAGGGTGGTCAGTTTTTTGCATTTTTTTAGATTAAGAGATTAGTTTGTGAAATAAAATACGTCTACCCTGAAAAAAAAGAATGATAATATTAAAATATAATTTCAGAGAAGTAATTTGTGTCGGGGACCGTTCTGCGGATATTTTTAATGTATGAAGAATATGGAATCAATTTTCACACAGTGTTAATTTCTATTACAGCTAACACGCTAACACAAATAATATAAATCTAATTAAGATAATAAATTTAAATAGATTAATGCATCCAATTAGCTTATTTCAAATTATATTTAATGCTGTACGATAGTTTGGAATCGTACAATTAGTGTCGATGTGTTTTTTTTTAATTCTCATTGGTTATTATATTACATGTGTTATTACTAAATTTTAATAAAAATAAGAAAAAAGTTGAATGTCATTTGAAACAGTCTATCTGTGGATTCGACTTTCCTCTTCTGATGCGTACAACCGATGACGTTGCAAGAATATTTACAAAATAATAACAAAATTACCTGTTGTAAGTATAGTATTAATACTTAATCATATTTCTATTTTAAAACCATCTTAAATTGAAAGGCTCATGTTAAAATAAAATCATAAATCATCGATCGATGATCACCAAAAAATCGAAAAAAAAAATACTTATGACCTCGCGACTGAATACATATTTCATTTACTAGTTATAAGAGAAAGAGAAAAAGAAAATGTCCGCGCGCACAGCTTTCTCTTGCTTCTATCCCCCACTCAACTACCGTTCGCCTCGGTACACACTTTTCGTAACGCGTAACGCATTTGCCAGCTTACCCAAGTCAAGCGTGCGTAAAGAAGTTTCACTTCAATAATAGTACCTAAATCATCACCAAACACAAAAATACAACTGCCTAACCTAAACTAACCTAACTTTTGTTATGATACATTGTGTAATAGGTATATGTGCGATAGTGCTGTAAAATTTCGAGCCTTATTGTCCATGTATTTGTTTTCCCGCTTATGATTTTCCTTTCTTTTCTACTCTTCTTCTCCCGTCTTTCTTCGTTCTGTCTCTATACCATCCCCTACTCTTTTCCTTCTATTAATAAACCTATGCATCTCCCACGGCCGCATCACTAGTCCACCTCGGGGACTCATTGTGTTGCGTACCTACCTAATGGTAAAAAATAATACAGATGCAACAAATACTTGATAAAAAGGAAATAAAAATTAAAAACAATTGCGTTCAAAAGAGTTTTACAAATAAAAAAAAACAACCTTCTGTATATTTTGGTGATCGATTACTATTTTTTTGTAACCATTTACTTAAATATTTTCAAAATTAAACAATAATAGCATTATGGTCGAAAATGCTTATACCTAGTACTTAGTATCCAAGAAGTTACATACAAATTACCATTTTCCTTGTTTGAATCAGTTATCAATAAAACATCCTATATTTTTATTAACATGGTCAGATCGCAATCTAAATGTGAATTTATTTAATATACCTATCTAGTATAAGCGTAAAATTTTCTAATATTCTGCGCATCTTTCCTTTTTTCCGTAATAACCTTCTACAAAATATTAAACCCACATACACCGATAACTATTTTAGAAAAAAAAATGTTTTTTATATAAAAGCTTGCTAAAAGGAGCCTAAAAACTATTACAAAAATGAATAAAAAAATATATAACAAAAGGGGGACACATAGAGGCCCGTAGCCCGTACCACATATATTTGTTTTGTTTAAAATTAATCAATATTGGTTCAATCTTCAGCAACCAAAATACATCATCAGTAAAGAACAAGGAAAACCATTCCATAAAGGAAAAAGGATTTCTTTTTCTTGGAACATGATAAACTGGTTGCTAAGTTATGATTTTAGGTTATAAGCCTCTATTTCTCCTATTTACGAGTTTATACTTTTTTACGCGTCTTTGCAAGAGTTCTTGAGACTCACATGGTTCGCACGACCGATTCAAAAGCAATAGGTCCTACTGGTTTATGTCTACCGACATCTTCTTTACCCGAGTCACCGCCAACAATGAACAGACTGATGAAGACAAAAGGCCATCAGATGGCAGTAAAAAAAATACAAATACTTGACCCTGGTCATAAGAACCATCATCTCCTTCAAAATATGAAGCAATATCTCCCCATAAAACTAAGATCACTCTCGTTACGTCTCTTGTTCTACCTCTCATTGATTATGCCGGTGTCTGTTATCCTGATTTAAACGCAGATCTTCTCAATCAATTGGACTTGCATTGTTTCATCTTTTGCCTCCTCAAATTTGACCATGTTTTTTCATATCGATCCCAACTAAAATTTCTTCCTATTCGCCAGCGCAGGCAGTTAAGATTACTCTGCACTCTTATTTCCATTATTTCCAACCTTCATTCTCCAGAGTACTTGATATGTAAGTTTCAGTATCTCTGTGATAGCCTCGACCGTCCTCTCCGCTCTGCTGATTCATTAGCTCTCTATATTCCTCTTTCTCATTCAGGCTATATGTCCAACTCCATTACTATTCAAGCCATACGACTGTGGAATGACCTCCCCGACTCCATTAGAAGATTTTCTAGTAAACTTATATTTAAAAGGAATGTTCACGCTCATCTGTTGCAAAACTTAAGATGAAGTGTCTTTTTATTAATCATCATCTTGTGTATATATGAATATACTCTGTATACTTAAATATTAGTGGGTTATGTTTGTATGTATTATATTCTTTTTATAGTATGTATTTCTATATGTATCTATGTTAATTTGTATATATATTCGTATTTAGCTTTATGCCGCCGCCGTTCGTGTTCTTCATTTTTCCCAAAGGTTAACTGAAAAAGAATGCTTTTAGCATTAAGTCCGCCTTTATTATATATTTCGGTCAATAAAGTTTGAAAATAAATAAATAAATGTCGAAAAGCGTGAATGACCTAAAACCATGAAACACATAAATCTAAAAACATATGGCAGTAGTTTATTTGCTTATGCATATTGCTACTACTACTGTTCCGCGTACGGTACACATAATTAATTATTGAATATACTTAATATGTATAAATAACTTGTAAAACATTTCTGTTATTCAAACATCTATTCAAACTCTAAACTTAATAAAAATACTGCTAAATAATATAATCGATAATAAATATTGTGGAACATACCTTTTCGAAAACATAGTACATTTTTTTATTGTTTTTATGACAGTTTTATGCCAATGAAAACTTAAAAATACTTGAGCTAATAACGTTTTTGTCTATTATAAACTGAAGCCTAATATATTCTTCGCTCATTCACATAGAGAAACAAAACAAATCTACCATCAGGTACGACGTAATTATTTAAGAAAGTTACTGTACCATATAAGGTACGGTAGGTCTACATGGGGTAAAAAACGTAAATAAAAGATAAGTACTAGGTAACTGTAAAGTCATTTTCAAATTATGGTGTGATCAATAGTTATAAGGATGTCTTTATAATCTAGTTTTTTTTTTAATGCATAATATGCAAGGCATTTCATCATTTACGTATATGAAGAAGGTGATAGCAGCTAGTCAGAATAGAAATGAGTAGGCGGCAGTTTCGGATCGTACGTAATTCGGTTACTATGACCATGGCCTCCACTCACGGACAAGCAGGTTACAACTGACCGTTAACGAACACTCCTACTATATTTCTGCCTATCGATGTACAAATTTTGTTTGCCACTCCTGACAATGAATATTAAATTCGGTCGGTCGTCAAAAGATATTTTAGCTTCATACAGATAAAATAATTGTATTTATCATCAGCATTATAAGCCTTAAATGCTTAGTAAATGTAGTAAAAGGACAATGGGCAAAACGCACCCAGCTCCGCCAACAATGTAATTAGTATGAATCAATAGATCTATGAAAAACTAGCCTTTTTTATTACTACACCGAAAAAAAAATATCCTGGGAGTCAAAAGATATGACACCGTAAAAAATATCCTGGTAGTCAAAAGATATGACACATGGGCATATTTAAGTAGGTAAATAAATTCATTTATACTATAAACCTTCATTTTATATATATATATTTTTTATATTATTAGTAACCATAATAATATGCCATATCGTACTATACAACCAGATATACGACAAAGCCTGCGGACCATCCCGCGCTTGCATTACTGAGCCACCTCAAAACGGTTTACGGGGGTTGAAGGACTTTCATTTGCAAATAGTCGTCTCGTCTTACTTCGTTGTAATTGTGCGCTCCCTGTCACTTTATTGGTTTTTATCTAACACGCTTTGGACATTAGAACATGGTTATCGGTTTTGTCAATTAGTATGCATGAACTGGAATCATGTTATCTCCGAAACGTGGACAAGGTTGGGTGATTTGTGGACGCTCCGTTTTACAAAGAAGACAATTTACTATAGCGAACAGAATATTTGAAAAAATCCCAACCCATGTGGGGAATTTTGGTTTTACTCTAGTGCTGCAGAATAACATAAGGGGGCACCCTTGAACCTTGTGAAGTACTCCCATAATATCTGAGCCCCCTATGTAGTGTCGAATTAACTAACGAAATTGTTTCATTAATGTTCGTTCGTTATAGTACTTGTACCTATTGAACTTAAAATAACTTAAGACTCCCGGGATAGAATTTGATGCGCTTTGGCACAGATGATCATGACTATAATACCTTTCAAACAAATGTAGTTTGAGCCGTGGCGGACGTAGGTGCAGCGTCCATACATTTTTGCCCAATGTCCTTTCATCTATTTAGTAGTTTTATCAATCATTTTTTCCAATGTTACATTTATGTGTTTTGGCAACAAAACGCAATTTGAATAACATTTTGCTTTTTTTTTACAGCTTTAAATAAATATGAGCCCACATTTTCGATATAATCTTTGTAAAAATTATGTTCACAGGTATGCGACCTTACAAATCCTTTTTATGTACAGTAACATTACCCAACAATTTTATGTACAAATTAATTCTAAAAGAAAGGCCACCTTATTACAATACGTAAACTAAAGTTAAACCTATGTTAGGTAAGGTCTAACTTAAGTCTACGTTTTGTTCTTCTACAGAAGCTGTGACTAATATATTGCTTTAAACCTTCATGGTCACTAACATTATAGTAATATAAGTTATTTACGGGATTGTTACCATGTACCTTGTTTTTAGCGAGTTTCCGATATTTCGGCACTAAATAGTACTTAAAGATTACTCCGTAATCATCATGGCGCTTGCAACAGTGCCGAAATATCGGAAACTCGCTAAAAACAAGGTACATGGTAACAATCCCTTAAATAAATAACGTATATTGCTGTGACTAATGTTTTCTAAAAAGAAGACAGAGACCACATTAGGTTTAAATCAAGATTAATTTGTTCCGCGTTTTGGAGAAAGGACTTTAATTTAAAGCAATAATTATTATCGACTTCATCCAAATATCTAATAAATAAAATTCTCGTCTCATATGTCGGTGTGTGTAATTGAAGTCCTCCGAAACGGCTCGACCGATTTTCGTGAAATGTTATATGCATATTCAGTAATTAAATGTTATATGGTCTGAGAATCAGACATCTATTTTCATCTTCCTAAATGTTAAGGTTCCCTAATGTTTTTTTTGGACAACATTTTTTGTTTTTATTTTTTTATTATACATCATACAAAAATACATACAACCATAAATTTTCCCTCTTCTACCACCCATATTTTTATGGCGATACGAAGTTCGCTGGCTCTTCTAGTAATTTATAGAAATATTATTTAGTTTGACTTCAGCGTTGCCTTCCTAACTCAGATGTTAATAAGTCACAGCTCAATCATTTTGTAAATGCAGTTCGTTTTGTAACAAAAATACACAGACCGTAAAAGAGGCTTCGAAAAGTTTTGCTAATGAAATTCGTATCTCAAGAGGTGCAATTCGTTACGTAAAACATTACAAAAAGTGGTACGAGCTAGTCGGATTACAAATAATATTACACGTCAAATAGGTAAATCGAAAGTTTAAATGGGTGACCTTGTTAACCCTCAAAATTTCTAACCAGTAGTTATGTGCGCTATTCCGGCAGTTGTCTTAATTTTTACGTTTCGTATCGATTTCACTATAAATATTATGTAGAATATAGGCCTTATTCTTATGCAGCTTCATTCGCATGATCTTGTTTTTTGTTTATTTTTAAGTACCAAATTCTTTCACTTTTTACTATCTGAATAAACAGAACTCCAATTAAGTTACTATGCAAATATAATATGTATTCCATTATCTGCTTATATTATAAATGCAAAAGTTTGTTTGGATGTTTGTTACTTTTTCACGCTAAATCTTTACGGCTCTGAAAAATCTCATAGAAAATTTACCCACATCGTCCCCACCATCCGGGGGCAAAGAAATGTAATTCAAATTTTAGTATAAAAATATTAAAAAACTCCTGAAGTTTCACTGTTGCTTAATTCTGATGTTAACAAAGCTTTTTTTATTTTTTTTCCTAATACATGAATCATTTATTTTTCTCCCTTTTTGAACCACTTCCAAAAATTATGGTGGTTCTCAATTCGTCAGATTTTTTTTTTCTTAATGTAAAATATTATGCAATGTTACGAAACCCTTTGTATGCAACAGCCGGTTTTGATTAAAATTCAGATTTTGACACGAAAATTTAAACAACTTACGTGATAGAGAAAGCGGTCTTTAGCTTCGCCGATGTAGGGTCCCTGGAAGTGTAAACTTCAGGCATGTTGGCGCGGGTGTCACAGAATCTCTCGATACACTTCTTCGTCTTCTCGAGGCTACCGTAACAGCTGTGCAGAAACTTCCGTAACATGAAATCATCTGAAATCACAGTAGGAACTGATTTTTTAAAATAACGTCAAGAGTATGAGTAAGACAATAAAAATATTTAAAAGGTGAAATTGTATTTTTTTATGAAACTTCGTGGGATTGCTGGGTTACGTGTATAGAGTATACCTGATATTTTTCAGATTAAAAAATATAGTGTCATAAAAACAAGAAGTGATATATGAATATATAGCTTATGCTATGTTGTAGGTACTTATAATATACATGATAAAAAAAATATCTATTTTTAATTTTCTATAAATAACTCATTATACATCTAATGATTCTAAACTTGTAAATCCGGTATATTGAATAGTCGTTTTCAAAGTTATTTATAAGTTATCACAAGATAACTTCTTAAGCAGGACCTTAAAAAATTAACCAATCTGTATCTCCTGCAAAAAACGCAAGAACTGATTAGAGGGCACCTTATTTTATTTTGCATCGTCAGCATCGGTAATGGGTACCTTTATTACTAAACAGATTCAGTTGTAGTTTTAATATTTAAGAATATTTATTACCTATACCTGTACTGGTACAGAGGTACTTAAGTACTAGCTTCTGTCCACCTCAAGTTATATTATTTTTAATAATTACGTTGGTTAGGAAATGATACATTTTGTTAATCTCATCAGATTAAATAACAATAATGTTATTCCAAATAATCACAAGCTAAACAAAATCATGAAACTCGGTACAAATTCAATTGAAACGAATGTAACTACTTAATTTCACGGTACAGCTTAGTCAAATAACAAATTGCCATAAATTGCTGATTCTTTCCACTGCAAATCAAATAATTTTACACAATGATCTGAATAGTAACATACTTTGATTTCTAATAATTTAGCTTGTAGTTTATATCGTTTTATTTTCAACTCTGCAACCGAAATTTATGATCATAAATGGAGAACCAATAAACTCACGATTTAGGAAAAATTTCGTGAAAAAGCAATAGGATATAATAAGGTCTACTATACAATACGAAACACTTTATTGTACACCACACATAACATTAAATTTAGTACATAACCAATTAAAACTAGTGTAACAATGGGCGGCCTTATCGCTTAGAGCGAACAAAAATTAAAATATATAAAAACTTGATTGATCATAAAAAATTGTTTACGCTTTTGGATTATCAAATTTAAAACGGACGTTTGAGCACAAATGTGGGTACATATTTTTGTTACACTATCTTTACCTTAATAAATTAAGCAGGGTTCTTTCGCGTAGATATAATAGAATTTATAATTATTCAAAAACAACAAGTACATTTTTAATTTGTTTTGTAAGCACTTCCCCCTTATTACTAAACGAAAACTAAGCTTGGATAATTTTACTCTTTGTTTTGTCTCTGTTCATTGAATTACAAATGGCACTTGAGTGATATGATCTAAACACAGCGTTACTAGTCGAAGCTTATTTATTCCTTGTTTATTAATAAGGGGATCTAGCTTTTGCGAGTGACTTTGTCTGTCTTATCTTTTGAATGGTGTTCCGGGGAATCGTTTAGCAGTATAAGTCCAAAGAATTATTTTACTGCGATTAGCTTTACCATGCTGGATGCATGCATGGACATTTAAACTATATTCCGGACTTTGTCCGAATCTTAAAATTGTCCGGATTTTTTAAATGACATTGAATATGAATAATAAAAGTACATATTGATTGAAATACCATACCATTGTAACTAAATCAGTTATAGTACCATTCTGTGACTAAAAAGTCCGGACGGTCAGGTATTTTATCAGGACTTTTGAAATTCCTAAATGGTTACCCTAACTGCGATTGATGTCAACTGATGATGTGAAATTGAAATAGAGTCCTCCAGTTTTCAAAATAGCTTTTGTACTATCCCGAACTAGCAACTTTGCTGATAAGATCTTTAATTCTCCTACCCCCAGAGCTTTGGCACCCTAGTTAAAAATCGTTATATAAGTCCTACATGTTTCCTATTTTTACATGGTACAAGTAGCAAATCAGATAAATATGACTGAATTGATTTCCTTTTATGTATTTCGACGCAGACGCACATTGTCACATTGTCACAACACATTGTTTTACTTACAATGGGTGCTTTGACTAAATAAATTCCCAGAGACCACCCTGTATAAAATATAATTTGATGTTAGTTTTCAAACTATCTATACTAGGTACAGGTGCCTATTATGTATTTGTAATATAATATACCATTAGTTTAAGTTAGGACGCTTGTGATCTGTGATGGTAGCTGAAAGAAATTGAAAAAGATATAAAATTATCTTCCATGCTGCACCGGGAGGGAAGGTAAAACAAAATGGGACAGTGCGGATCCAAAACTCATTTAGCTTAGATTTTGACTGAGAGAGTGATCTGTTGCAACCATGGAGCAAAAACAAAGCTTTCCGTATTGTTTCCGGGTCCTTTCCTTGTTGTGGTGGTGTTGAGGTAGATATGGTTCTGTTATGGGAAATTTAAACACTTTTACTCTCAAAGTCTCAAGTTACACCCATTGCAGTAACACCTATAAAGTTCTGCTAATCCCACGACGGATATATCGTATATATTTTCGTATTGTTAAAATAAAAATTCCAACGTAACTTTATGTAACAAATATCCATAATGTTATAAATATAATATGTTGTTTTATATTACCTAGTACCAAGAACGTAGCACGCATAGTCAAGCAACTATATCAAGGTCAACTAGAATAATACTCCCATATTACGATTACAGTTTTTTTCAAAGTCAATTATTTTTTTTATATTTAGCTAGGTAGGCAAAATGACTCTACCCCACCTGATGTTAAGTGGTGATAAAATTCAAACTCGAAGAAAGCTGGTACAGCAGTTATAAACTGCTACATCAACCATCCTCACCTTGCCGGGCCGCAAAAATGCTTCTTCACGCCTCTCTTAAAGAACCCCAGATTATAGGAAGGAGGGATCACGTGCGCGGGAAAAGAACTCCACTTACGAATAGTACGACAAAGAAATGAGTCGCCAAATTTCTTTGTTCGTGTAGGAATAGTGGCCACAGAAAGTCGGTGGCAACGTAGGCCAGCGCGCGTGGTCCTCTGAAGTAAATAAATATAATATAAAATAAAAATTGAATAGGCTATTTTACAGTATGAAAAGTAATGTACCAATTGTTGGCATTTGTATTTAATATGAATAATAGCTGCAGCAGCGATTGTACTATTCTAAAAGAACAAATAAAATTATAACTTATTATTATATTTTGCTCCATGGTCAAGTGACCGAAAACGCCTGTGATTGGCCAAGACTAAAATGACGTCACTCGCTAGTATAATACCGGCCAAAGTGGGTGACATTACATTGTATCGTTTGACGTTTTAATGACACTAGTGTGACGTCACACACTAATGAGACGCCATAATGTCCAGAGAAACGTTTTCGCGGCAACTTGAAAATTGAATATTTAATTTAGTATTTTTTACTGAATTATCCAGCAGAATTAAAAATATCCACTTTCTATGGACTCCATAAACATTAGTAAATTTTATTTAATATAACAGTGTTTTTAAATAGGTACTTGAATAGAGACTTTTTTTAACTATGTTGTTAATTAATCTTATGCTCTATATGCTTGGGATGCAGAAAACAAGAATCCCCTTTGAACTTTTGAAATAATAAATTCTATGGGTAGGTAAATTACAAACATCTATACCTACATAGGTAATAAAATGGTAGGAAAGTCAAAACTATACATTGAATATTTTATTTAAAAATACTTGGGCTGTGATCTACAATCGACACCGAAGCCAAAAATATAGTTTTTAGAATTTTTGTCTGTTTGTCTGTATGTATAACCGGGATAAACTCAAAAATTACTGCATGGATTTACTTCAAATTTGGCAAGAATTTTATTAAGAAGTCGGGTCTACATATAGGCTACATATAACACGCTATCAGCTGCGGGGAACGAGCAGTGAACTTTTATTTCTAACTAACTCCACGCGTACGGAGTCGCGGGCGGCCGCTAGTATTTAATAAGTCAAATTAATATTATATGTCGATATAATTAGTATTTTAAGTATGGGGGTATAGCAGATTTCCTGCTAGAATTGGAGCACCCGTTCGGTTTATAAATTGTGTCAATAATTGCCACTGATCTCTGGTTATGTCTGTTGTCTTGTCTTCGGAAAAGATATATTATAAAGATTTTTAAGTATGGCTAATAAATGATTTTCTTTACGATAAAAATGGAATAAGCCAACACTTATTTTTTTTATTTGACGCCATAAAACTTCTTCTTAGAATGTTGCGCTTTAAGTAGGTACGATATTATCAAGTACTAAATGCCACGTAAAGCAAAGATCTTATTAAGCATATAATATTCTTAACAAAATTTATCACATCATCGTAAATACAATGTATGGAAATTATAGGTTATAATAATATGCTAGGATTTAATAATTTACAAAAGTGTGAAGCGTGGCATTGTAGCAAACAACAAAAAGACAATTGAAATGAATGCTATTGAGAAATTCCCATGATCTATTTGGACCAGCAAAACAATTATCTCAAATTTACGTCGTGTGGGTGAATGTTCACGAAGTATAACAAAAATTAAAAACAAAACAAAGAACTTGTGTTTGACAATTTTGTTATTTTTTGGTGGAATAATCGTGTTTTACATCGATTGTTAATTTTTGTTTAGTGGTGATCAGTACGTATGACCAAGTAAGCATTTACCTGTTTTCAGTCAAACATGAATGTTTTATAGAATGTACGGGGTCGTACATTATGTAAAACTTATAAAGTAACTAATTTGATTTGAGGGATGTGAATGTGCTTAAAATGAACATTTTAATTTGATATCCGTATTTCAATAATAATTAAAGAGTCCATTTTAATCAAAAAAATCTTATAATAAAACACATAAATTAACTAACCTATATCCTTTGGCAGACGAGGCTCTTTAGAGAGCCACTCCCTGATGGAAGCGACATCTGCGTTGGAATCTTGCGGCATCTGTGAAAGACGAGCTGATGATATAAAGAGTTGTTCCGTATTCATTCTACGACGTCTCATCCCATTTCCTTTCTCATCCCAAAATAGTATTCCTAACTCAACGTATTACATCATGTTAATATGTTTTCTTAATTCAACCCGATTCCGTTTCTTAGTCCTCCCAAGGCAAATAAATATATACTACAAAAAAAGTAAGTTGACACTAAGTAATAAGTTAGGAAATTTCTTGTTTTGTTTGTGCGTGTGTCAAACATATGGCAGTATATATTTGTAATGTTATAAAATAAACTAGTGGCTGTCCGCGACTTCGTCTGCTTGGAAATAAATATTTTCTTAACAAACTTCCACCCTCCTTTTCACCCCCTTTAGGGATGATTTCTGAAATATAAATTATTTTATGTTTTTATCGGGACTCAAACTCTCTATGTCAAATTTCATCCAAATCAGTTCATCGGTTTAAGCGTGAAGAGGTGACCAAGAGACAGACACACATTGGCATTTATAATATACTAGCAGCCACACGCGACTACATGCGCGTTAACTTTAGTTTTATCAAAATCCCTTTAGGAACAAATAAATTAAAAAGTATCCTATGTCTCTTTCCAGGTTATGAGATGTCTGTTTGTAAAATTTCATCCAAATCCGTTCAACCGTTTTTGTGTGATTGAGTAGCAAACATACAAACTTTCACATTTATAATATTGGTAATAGTATGATTATGGATTTAATGATTACTTTCATTTGTTTTCTACAACTTACGTCTTGCTTGATGCTTTGTTATTATGAATTCAATATACATAATAACAAATTTATAGAAGAAGAAAAAGTGTAAAATAACCTCTATGACATAATTTTAATTAAAATAAATAAAACTAGTTTTTACGGGTTAATATACATTAACTCGTAAAAACTAGTTTTATTTAATGAGTGATGTGCGTGAAAACCTAAGAAACAAATATGTTAATCAAAATAGTTAACGCAAGAAGGTAAACTTCTCGGAATTCGATGCGTAGAGTGCTGCAAAATAACAAAATTTCTATTTTAGCAAATTTGATGCTCTATTAGCACAAGAAGAAGGCCTGAAATGGATTGTGTGAAAAAAAATCGAATGTTATTATGTTCTTTAAGGTTCTATATCTATATGACTGGACAAATTATGTGTTGATATTTGACCCGTTGCAAATTCAACCACTCAATTGTTTCACACACACAATTCCGGGACTATTTCCTAGTCAACAATTCATTCGTTGATTGATTATTATGTTTTTAACCCATTCAATCAGAAATCAATATACGAGGGCGGGATGATAAGTAACTAGCCTCTTCTATTTAAAAAGTTAAAATTTAACAAATAAATATGTCATTTTTAAATTCGTATCTCTGGCCACTGGTGTTCTAAATTTGAATATGGTGGCGCGAAAATTTTATTGATTTTTTGTCATTTGAAAATATATTTCATCAACTGTTTTCAAAATGGATAAAATTGAACAAAGAGCGGTGATAAAGTTTCTTCATACGAAGGGCATGAAGGGGAAATATATCTATGATATGTTTTGGGTGAATGTGCTCCTTCTTATGCCATAGTAAAAAACTGGGTGGCTGAGTTTAAACGCGGTCGTACATGTGTCCAAGATGAAGCCCGCCCCGGACGTCCAAAAAGCGTCACGACTCTGGTAATGGTCGTGAAAGTACATGATACGGTTTTAGCAGATCGACGATTGAAGTTATCTGAAATAGCTAACACTACAGGTATCTCAAAAGAACGGGTACATCATATCTTAAGTGAGGAATTAAATATGAAAAAGTTATCGGCCCGTTGGGTGCCGCGATTGATTACGCACGATAAAAAAAAGGATTCGGGTGCAAAACTCAAAAGAATGTCTGGACTGTTTTCAGAGTAATAAGGCCGATTTTTTACGTCGATTTGTAACAACAGATGAAACATCGGCTCATCATTACACGCCAGAATCAAAAATTCTATAAAACAGTGGACTCAATCGGGATGCCCGGCTCCAAAAAAAGCCATGGCTGTAAAGTCGGCTGGAAAGGTGATGGCTTCCGTATTTTGGGATGCAGATGGGATCTTGATATCATCATAACCTTCCTAAAGTTCAAACAATTAATGGAAAATATTACGCTAATCTTCTAGATAAGCTTCATCAATGTATTCAGCAAAAACGACCAGGTTTGGCGAAAAAAAAAATTATCTTCCATCAAGACAACGCTAGGGTTCACACATGTGTTAAAGCTATGGCAAAAACCAACGAATTGAAGTATGATTTGCTGCCCCACCCACCTTATTCGCCTGATCTAGCGCCATAAGACTTCCACTTATTCCCTAAGCTCAAAAAATTTTTGGGCGGACAGAAATTTGTCACAAATGATGAAGTCATAGCCGCTGTAGAGAAGTATTTTGCAGGCCTCGAAAGAAATCATTTTATGGAAGGCATTATTGCTTTAGAACGAATCTTCGTTCCTTGTGTTCCTTGAATCGTGAACCTCTACGCACTTATTCTATCTAGAATAAGTGCGTAGAGGTTCACGGAGACTACGTCGAAAAGTAAAATTAATTTTATTAGGGAAAGTTAAGTGTTTTCTTATTAGGCTAGTTACATATCATCCCGCCCTCGTATCGTTATTCAAATCGGATGTATAGTACAAGAAAGAAGAATTATAAAAGAAGAGTTTGTGCTTGGTCTGAATTAATTAAGACTTATTTCTTCACATACCGAACTCAAATAATGAGCATTAATACTTACACCGCGGACATAGAATTAGGTCCATGACTTACGAAGACCTAAGTACGTGTCGTTCTAAACTAGTTGGCCCGGCTAACTTTGAGCCAAAACTTTTTTTCTGTAAAATATTTAAAAAAAGAACTGTAGAAAATTTGTCCTGACATTAAAAAGTACAACAAGGAAAAATGTTTTGCTGTCTTTGGAAAGTCATAGGACTTATTTAGCTGCTTGCTTTTAATGTAATGATTTTTTGTAGCACATGCTGTGTTTCATTCACTCCTACTGCGTGGAAACTAATACTAAAAAAAAGGTTATATTTATCTAATCAGTATTCAGGTACTTTATTATTACTTTAATTAATTACGGATTTTTATTGCGGAAGCTGGCAAACCTTTGTTACCCGAAGCAATATAAACCGTTCGAAGTGATATTATATAAAGTTATCCTTGGTTTTAATATGTTTAGTTAATTACTTATAAATACATACTTTTATTTTGATGGGTCTAATTTTGGCATGTTTTTCTTGTTCGAAACAAAAATTTCCGGAATTCTTTCCTTAGTTATTATTCTGTATTTCTCTAATTATCTCTTCCTTCCTCTTTCTCTATAGAAAGAGCTTGACAAGGACTCTAAATTTATTTGTTTCTAAGGTTTTCACGCACATCACTCATCACTCTTAAATAAAACAGTTTTAACAGGTTCTATGCACTGAATTTATCTATTTATATTGACGTTTCGCATCCTTTGCAGTAATTTATTCTGACGACGCATTCCTGCAAAGGATGCGAAACGTCAATAAATAAATTCAGTGCATATAACCCGTTGACACTGTTTTACTATAAATTTAGTTTAAAAGGAAGTTTAGCTACTGTCAAAACATTAAGGATTAGGCAAAAATAAATTGATTTTTCTTAAACAGTTTTATCCTTTTTTCAACGCGAGTCTAGTTTACTAGTCTAAAAGTAGGTACAAGAAATTCGATTACGGATCAGTTTTTTTTTATTTCAGGAGGTCCACGAGCAGTAGACTCACCCGATGGTAGGAGATCACCGTCGTCTAAAGACATTTTTAACACCACAAGTGTTACAAATACCTGGTCACTCAAAAAGTTTTGCGAAAAATACTTTTACTTAAGTATCCTACATTTTGAAAAATCTCACGTGAGATTCGGGGATGGGGGAGGGGGTCGAATAAAATCTCACCAGGGGGGAGGGAGGGACAGAAATTTCAAAAAATACCTCACGTAATTTATGGACGCCCTAAAGGTTTTCAGGTCGTATAGGTCCGGAAAAACTGCTAACGACAGTAAATTCCACAGATTCTTTTTGTACGTAATAAAAATTTCGACTTAATGGTTGTGGAAGTCACGCATAATTTTTCAGTTCCATAATCTTTAATCTTCGACTGCTTTCGTTCAATGTTAATCTCACATGATAGGTATAAAAGCAAACAAAGATGATAGCATCAATATTTACTAACCTACTTTCCTTTAAAACAGTTAGCTTATGAAATAGCCAACCATCAATTTCTACAAGATTAAGTAATGAAATGTGTACCTACCTATTAGTTATAATAGCATAAATAGTGAAAAGTTAGCATAAAACCGTTTGTTACTTTTTCGTGAAGTTATAACCTAGAACAAAGAATATAAAACACTACGTAGAGATATATAAAGATAATCACATTTAATATTATAAAGGCGAAAGTTTGTGAGTGTGTATGTTTGTTACTTCTTCACGTCTAAACGGCTGGAGTGATTTTAATAAAATTTGGTATTTAGTTAGCTGACACCCTGGATTAACACATAGGCTACGTTTTACTGCGGGAAAATATCCCTAATAAACCGCGGGAAACACCGCGGTGCACAGCTAATAATATTATAAAGGCGAAAGTTTGTGAGTGTGTATGTTTGTTACTTCTTCACGTCTAAACAGCTGGAGCGATTTTAATAAAATTTGGTATGGAGTTAGCTGACACCCTGGATTAACACATAGGCTACATTTTACTGCGGCAAAATATCCCTAATAAACCGCGGGTAACACCGCGGTGCACAGCTAATAATATTATAAAGGCGAAAGTTTGTGAGTGTGTATGTTTGTTGCTTGTTCACGTTTAAACGTCTTGAGCGATTTTAATAAAATTTGGTATAGAGTTTGCTGACACCCTGGATTAACATATAGGCTACGTTTTACTGCGGGCAAAATATCCCTAATAAACCGCTGATAAGACCGCGGGGCATAGCTAGTAAAAAATTAATACAACTTGTACGCTCATTTTCTATGTTGAATGAATGAAGTGGATATCGAACCAGAAACTTCTAAAACTAAATAATAATGATCACGTGTGAGTTGTACGCACGTAGGGCTTTGTACCATAGGTATAAACACTAGATTAAGTAAAAAGCATCGAAAACTTTATTTTATCACTAATTATCGCTATGCACATTCTGTGAAAAATCCTTTACAGTTCATGAGATTCAGCCCCCCCGAATTGACAGACAGAAAGACGGGTGGATTGACAGTAAAGGATAGTATTAGGGTAATTTGTAATTTTACTGCTGTACCAGCTATCTTCGCGTTTGGACTTTATCACTACTTAACATCAGGTGGGGTAGAGTCATTTGCCTACCTGAATATATATATAAATGTTTTGATGTTTTTAAGGTAAATTAAAAAATGTGTATCTATCAAAGTTTACACTTGGTGAAGTTATTCATATGGTACTTGGTGAACAAGTATTGTATAAGAGGCAGCCCGCGATTTCGTTAGTTTTTTGAGAATCCTAACCGTTTTCCGGTTTGTCTCAATCCAGGTCATAAACTATATGCTTACCGAATTTTATCCAAATCCGTTCAGCAGTTTTTGCGTGATTGATTAATAAACTTTCACTTTTGTAATATTAGTAGTATATTTAGTAATAAATAATGACTTAAGTACATATTTAACTACTAAATAGCAGAAAGAAAAAATATCAACAAATCTAATTTAGGAATGTACAGTAACCTAATTATTGGGGTGCGGTAAGTAAAAAGATAGATATACAAAAAGAAATCGCAAATATTCATAGCAAAAATCATACTTATTAAGAACTAGCTGTGCCCGCGGTGTTACCCGCGGTTTGTTAGGGATATTTTCCCGCAGTAAAAAACGTTGTCTATGTCTTAATCCAGGGTGTCAGCTAACTCCATACCAAAATTTATTAAAATCGTTCCAGCCGTTTAGACGCGAAGAAGTAACAATCATACACACTCACAAACTTTATGATATTATAGTGTGAATAATAACATCGAAAACAAAATTATGAAACTTACCTCGATTTCGAAATCACGGGTGTTAGTTATCACTCGAATTACCTACGTCTGTCCGAATCGCACTACAGCGGAAGATCGAATTACTTATTTTAACCCACATAAAAAAAACAGCATCGTCCGACCCCGATGGAGTCAAAACCTCGACTGGTACAGTGTTATTGTGTGTCGTAAAGTGATTCAAGTTGAGCTTGTAACTTCACTAACTTTGTTCTTACCGGACCATCAAACCCATGGCAGCATTATTAAGTATTATTACATAGGTAGCATATTAATGTTTATGTAACTTCCATACAAACAGTTTTATAAACTACTTAAATAGTTATATAGTCGTATCACAGAGTACCTTATTATAACCGACTCGTATGATGTTAAAGATAAAATATATCCGTATTGTTAAATTTTCGTAGACAACTAATACGAACTTTTTTTACTCTTATTTATTTATTAGGTATATTTTAAGTTGTCGATGGGTTACGTTATATTGTGATGTAGACAATTCGATAGTTGGTAGAGTAGGCCCATCAGAATCCGAGGCCGCGTCGAGATGCAGCCAGGGAGGTCGAATTGGTGGGAAAGACAGGGACCCCTTAAAAGGGTTTTAATTAACTTACCTAATTTTATTAAATTCAAAGCGCGTGACAACTACAGTTCACGCATTTGGATTTTGGATTAAAAATGTATTATAAAAAGTGAGGTTGCCAGATCATCCACCGCAATTGATTCCGTTTGTAATAATCTGATAAGTATATAACTGAATTGATATTAATGCAATAATACTTTATTCTTTTTAACCTTGTTTTACAATCTCATGTATAAGCACAATTTTTAGTCATGAGTTTTACAACGCGGGAATATTGTTATGTCATGATGACAGTAGTTAGCCGTTCCGAACCACGCACTAACCCCATAACACGAATGTGACCTTCAGTAGCAAACCATGTAACAACTTTACAGGGATAAAAATTTCGTAGTGCATAACAATATACATAATTGTATTTTACTTGTGATCCTGTGAACCGAAATATAATAACAACAACGATATTTTTTTATTGTTGAATAACAACAATATTTATTGACACAACAATCGTTAAATCAATTTATCAGTGTATAGCGATTTCGTTCTTGCAAATCTCACGAGTTTTGTTGTTTTGAATCTTTTCTTCCTTTTTTGTGTAAATTGTTAATACTTACTTAAAATTATTCCAAAACTGATTCATAATAGTACAAGATCCGAAGAGAGTATTTTATAAAATCGCAATTTAATTTTAATCGCATTTTCATCACCACAATCTCATATAAAAATTGTTCATCACTATTTCTAAATAAAATATATGCTTTTTTTATTTAACCAGCTTTTATTTACTGGCAATAAAAATACTTAAAAATTTAAAAGATTTAATGAAATTTTGATAAGAAATGTACCATTGTATACCTTCTTTATTAATCTTAAAGGGTACATTAATACATATAATAAAACTTATAAATTATTTTTGCTAATTGATATAAGTTTTTTTTTTACCTACAACTTTATATTTCAAATAAAAAAGTCGCTATCACTTTTTAGGCAATGAATGTTCTACTTGTTTTTTTTGTAAAAAATACTTGGTAAAACGTACTTTTTGTCTGGTAAGCAAGTAAGGTGAAGGACGACCTGCTTTCGGATCTTAGACTGTAACAAAATTTCTAAAATGCCATACGTACTTTTATCATTGTGTGAATTCGTAATTTATTCACCAAGAGTGGATCTACAAAAAAAATGATTTTGGGATGGGCCTATGTTGTAACACCACCTCAAGTTTGCCTTGAAATTTTTATATAGTTACCTACCGAAAAGCAAACGTAACAAGGTTTCAAAATTCTTAACCAACTTCAATGTTGATGACGTTTTTTTAACATGACACACACCATGCCGTTCTACATCTGGTAATCGTTGGTTGAGTTCTTACTTCACAACTAATCCACATTGGGCCTGCGTTGGCTATGGTGGATATTTAATCTTTAGGATAGGCAGAAGCGGTGGCAGTGGGAAATTCATAGATATCAGATATCAGTTTTCGTTTCTGTACCGAATCTGTATGGATTCTTTACCGAGAACCACTTTTTGACCAGTTTTCCCTAGTAGGCACGTGAGCAGGTCGACTGGCTAGCCGCTCGGACTGCAGACCGTGGGACTAGTCAGGTGACGCTGTAAGCGGAGAAGCCCAGGATCGGCTGTAGCTGGTCGGGGGCGGGGTGGTGTGACGTCTGCCACGCTTACGTGAGCGCACGTCAAAGTATACCTCCACCGACTAGTAGCCCTCGGGTTGCTCGGAATGCACCACGCAATTACCTGCGTCGTGAGGGTTTACTCACAGCAAGCCAACGCGACGTGGTCATTGTCGTGGAAATAATGCATGTTTTCTTCCCGTCCATCGAAAAAGAAGTTTCAGTGCGGTATCGTTTCGTTTTGTTTGCTACGATGTTTGTCATTTGTTATAATGCTGGGTGGGTGAGTCGAATGGTTCGGTATAATTCGGCACAGAGAGGTGTGTATGCGCGCAGCACGGACCTGAAAAAAAGACGGACGTAGTTAGTTAGTTTTTCAGGGCGGTTTCCGCACTTAGTCCTAATTATTGGACCATTGTGCGTATCTCATAAACATTCCCGCTTACTCCAGCCAGCCTATATCGGTCCAGAAGGAAAGCAGCCTTGATAGACTGCTGCAAGCTTCCGGAAACGATTCTGGTGACTGGAGAAGTCGTGCCCGTTGGTCGGCCACACTCCTGCATTCCATGATGACATGCTGTGGCGTTTCTTCTGCCTCCATGCATCCTCTGCATAGGGGGCTGTCTGTAACCCCCATTGTATATAGGTGTTTGTTCAGGGGACAATGACCAGTCAGGGATCCTATAATCCTGCGAAGTTTGTCCCTATTTAGTCTGGTAAGGGTGCGGGCAAAACTTTTATTTACCGCCGGAACCGCGTTTTTCGTTTGCCGGCATCCTTCACCTGTTTTCCACTCCATCAAGTGTGATTTATGAGTTATTTCACGCAGCCACGTTTTAATTTGGGCCTGAGGTATGGGCAGCAAAGGCTCCGGACCGTACATCTTTGTGTCTGCTCCCCTCTTAGCCAGTTCGTCTGCTGCGTCATTTCCAATTGAGCTGCTGTGTCCTTTTATCCATTGCAGAGTTACCGTGTTGTTAGCCGCAATGGATTGAAGTGCCTTGTGGCACTCCATTACTAGGACAGAGTTTATTGTGTTGCTACGTAGGGCTTGAAGCACGGATGCACTGTCAGAGATGATCTTGATGTTATACTCTCTGATATCTCTGGCTGCAACCGCCTGTGCCGCTCTGGTAATGCCAATACATTCCGCCTGGAAGATTGTACTTTGTTTGCCTAGGGTTGTAGATATTTTAATATTCAGGTCGTTTGAGAAGACACCGGCTCCAGTGCCACTGTTGGTTTTGGAGCCATCCGTGTATATCCTAACTTCCCCGGCGCCGGAGTAATCTGCCTTTTCCGCGGTAAGTTGGATATTGTATCTTCGATCAAAGACGTGTTGACTTAATATTCTATCCATAGGTGCCTCCAGGAGTGGGATCTCCTTCGTGCACTTTTGTAGAATATTGGAGTGTGTTGTTACAGTATTTAATCTCCATAATCCTAGAGATTTTAGTCTCAAGGCTGCTGCTTTCGCCTCTTCTTGTATGACCAGGTCCAATGGTCTTAAATTCATGAGGTACTCTAATGCAGCCGATGGAGTTGTTCTCATACATCCGGTTGCTGCTACGCTCGCCAAGCGTTGTAGACTTTGGAGTTTGGATTTCACTGTGGTCAGTTGGGTCCTGGGCCACCAAACAACTGAACCATAGGTTATAGAGGGCCTGATGACTGCTGTGTATAACCAGAGGGTGATCTTTGGACTTAGACCCCACTTTTTGCCAACTAGTCTTCTACACTGATTAAAAGCTATGCAGGCCTTCTTTGTTTTTAAATCAATATGACTCGCCCAATTCAGTTTGTTATCAAGGATTATGCCCAGATATTTCACTTGTGTTGATAGGGAGAGTTTGGTATTAAACAGTTTCGGTAACTGTAGTTCAGGTAGCTTCCTTTTGTTGGTGAAAAGGACTAGCTCTGTCTTGTTCGGGTTTACTGACAAGTGATGTTCGTCACACAATTTCTCCACAATCTGAAGGGCTGAACGCATAACCTTGCAAAGGACATTTTCAGCGTTCCCATTTATCAGAATTGTTAGGTCGTCCGCATAACCAATAGTAGTGTATCCTCTGTCATTCAGACTCCGTATGAGACTGTCCACTACTATGTTCCAGAGAAGTGGTGATAGGACTCCCCCTTGTGGGCATCCTCTGACTACCTTCGCACGCGTGGTAGCGTTCCCCACTATCTGAACCGCCCTTTTGCCAACCAGTTCGGTGATCCAACCTCTGGTGACTTGGTCCACTTTGAGTTTTCTTAGGGCGTGGTTAATGCTGTTGTGCATCGTTTTGTCAAACGCACCTTCTATGTCTATGAAGGCTGCCAGTGTTGAGATTTTATTTGTGATTGCCGACTCTATTTTGTGGACTACTGAATGCAGTGCCGACTCTGTTGATCTGCCTTTTCTGTAGGCATGTTGTTGAGGGTGCAGCGGAGCTTTACTTAGTGCTCCATCCCTAAGGTGTCGGTCTACCAGTCTTTCCAATGTTTTTAAGAGAAAAGAGGTTAGGCTTATTGGTCTGAAGGATTTGGCTTGTGTGTAGTCGTCCTTGCCTGGTTTCGGTAGGAAGACTACTTTTGCCTCTCTCCATGGTTTTGGTATGTACTTGAAGGCCAGGCAGGCCCTAAAGATAGGTTGTAGGTATCTAATTGTCTGACCTAGTTGCCATTGTAGTAGCGCCGGGAATATGCCATCTAGTCCCGCTGACTTAAATGGTTGAAAGCTTTTTAGAGCCCATTCTATCTTTTCCGCCGTTACTATTGTTTTTGCCAGGTCCCATTCCTGGGTTGTTGGTGCATTGTGGTGCTCAGTCGTCCACTCCAGGCCTGGCGCTAGTTGGCATCCTGGGAAGTGGGTTTCCAGTAGCACCGCATTGGCTTCTTCTTCTGTTTTTGTATAAGTG